ATATATATATATATATATATATATATATATATATATATATATATATATATTTATATACATTTATATATATTTAGAACTTGTTTTTTACTGGTGGTGTCCGCCCCCATCCCCAGCCACCCCCCCCCCCCTCAGAAGTTTTAAGTGTCCCCCCCCCCCCAGGCGGAAAAGGTTTGAAAGAAACCCTGATCTTTGTTCTCTAACTAATAATTACTTGTTCGATATTTACATGTAGTCAGATTGCTCTTTATTAGCTATGTAAGTTAAATAAAAACTAGTGACCGGGCCTACACTATAGACTAGAGGGAGGTTACTCTAGTCTACTTCTCCTAATCTACAAAAATGACAATCACCACGTCGAATATTTATATTAAAATGTCTTGTAAAACTTCTTGTTGGTGTTCATAAATAATTAATTGGTATCTTGTTCACACGTCTCCTTCTCCTGTACCCCAGTATACCTGTCTGGTACCACACCTGTATCAGGATTCACCTGTAGAGTGATATTTGGTTATGTGGGCCAGGGGACGTAACCGCCGACATAAGAACAGTTGCCACTACTCGAACAACATATCCCTGCTCGGTTGTTCCCCTTACCTCCACATCGACACAAAGTCACTGCCTTTTGTTCTGTTTCTCATTGACATTACTTCCCTTGTTTTTGGTGTAAGCATATTATTTCCCTTTGTTGTTTCGCTTGGCGCCGCTACTGTAGCTCTCGTTCGCTTGCATTCTCTCCCCTCGCTCGTGGTTCGGCCTGCGAATGCTAAACGATAAATAATAAACTGCATGTTTTGTAATATCTACTCTGAATTAACTTCGGAACGGAAGATGCAGCAAATATTGGACTTGAATCTGCTTTTTAATTTTACGTATATAAAGTTTCCTTTCGAACCTGAAGGTCCATGGGGGTAAGTGAAGTAGAGTTTGCCTGTTTCCGTGTCCATTATTTTTTCAAAGTATATCCAGAAAGTATTACCATATAATTAAAAAAAAAACTAATAATATAATTTTATAATTAATTTTAATTTCCAAATCATGTGTACTTTCTATGGATTTAAAAAAAAATATATAATTATCAGTAAGAAATTAAAATGTCGTAAAATGTTGTACTGTTGTTTGATATTCTTATCAATGTATTGTTCGAATAGTTGCCCTCCGCGCCCCTCGCCCATACCCCCCCCCCCAGGAATATATATTCACAAATTCCCCCCCCCCCCCCCCCTCCTCACACACACACACCAGACCTGACACACCCATAGACACAGACCGCTCGTGTTTCGCAACATTAAGCCCCGTTTGATTCCGTCCATGATGTGTGATGGTATGCAGGTAGAGGGTGAGCCATTTGATTCAGCCCATGATGGTATGCAGGTAGAGGGTGAGCGACCCGTCTCTACCTGTGGCATCAAAGGTGTTTTCATACCGTACGAACTCTTGCCCCGGCGGACCAAGACCTGGGGGTGGAGGTGGGGTTGTGGGACCGTTTGATTGTGTTGGCCGTTTGCGTGTGGGACTGTTGGATTGTAAGATAGTCGGACTGTTTCATTGATTGTGGGACCGCGGGATTGTTGGGTTGTTGGGCCGGTTGTGGCATTATGAGACAGATTGTGTTACTGTCAGACCGTTTGATTGTGGCATTGTGTGGCCGTTTGATTGAGGGATTGTATGAACTTTTGTTGCCCCCCCCCCCCTTCCCCATTATTTGGCATCGGCGGGTATGTGTTGACGGGTAGTGTTGTATGTGGCTGTCTGATCTGGGGACTGGGCCATCGTGTTTGAGCTGTTAGAACTTGGCCATCATGTATGTCTGATCTGGGCCATCGTGTTTGAGCTGTTAGAACTTGGCCATCATGTATGTCGGATCTGGGCCATCGTGTTTGAGCTGTTAGAACTTGGCCATCATGTATGTCGGATCTGGGCCATCGTGTTTGAGCTGTTAGAACTTGGCCAACATGTATGTCTGATCTGGGCCATCGTGTTTGAGCTGTTAGAACTTGGCCATCATGTATGTCTGATCTGGGCCATCGTGTTTGAGCTGTTAGAACTTGGCCATCATGTATGTCGGATCTGGGCCATCGTGTTTGAGCTGTTAGAACTTGGCCATCATGTATGTCGGATCTGGGCCATCGTGTTTTGAGCTGTTAGAACTTGGCCATCATGTATGTCGGATCTGGGCCATCGTGTTTGAGCTGTTAGAACTTGGCCATCATGTATGTCGGATCTGGGCCATCGTGTTTTGAGCTGTTAGAACTTGGCCATCATGTATGTCGGATCTGGGCCATCGTGTTTGAGCTGTTAGAACTTGGCCAACATGTATGTCGGATCTGGGCCATCGTGTTTGAGCTGTTAGAACTTGGCCATCATGTATGTCTGATCTGGGCCATCGTGTTTGAGCTGTTAGAACTTGGCCATCATGTATGTCGGATCTGGGCCATCGTGTTTGAGCTGTTAGAACTTGGCCATCATGTATGTCGGATCTGGGCCATCGTGTTTTGAGCTGTTAGAACTTGGCCATCATGTATGTCGGATCTGGGCCATCGTGTTTGAGCTGTTAGAACTTGGCCATCATGTATGTCGGATCTGGGCCATCGTGTTTTGAGCTGTTAGAACTTGGCCATCATGTATGTCGGATCTGGGCCATCGTGTTTGAGCTGTTAGAACTTGGCCAACATGTATGTCGGATCTGGGCCATCGTGTTTGAGCTGTTAGAACTTGGCCATCATGTATGTCGGATCTGGGCCATCGTGTTTGATCTGTTAGAACTTGGCCATCATGTATGTCGGATCTGGGCCATCGTGTTTTGAGCTGTTAGAACTTGGCCATCATGTATGTCGGATCTGGGCCATCGTGTTTGAGCTGTTAGAACTTGGCCATCACGTATGTCGGATCTGGGCCATCGTGTTTGAGCTGTTAGAACTTGGCCATCATGTATGTCGGATCTGGGCCTTCGTGTTTGGCCGTCGTGTTGAGAAAGTCATGTCTCGGCCACTAGATTGTGAAAAAAAAACCCCGTCCAGATGCAAAATTAAATTTTAAAAGTTGATTCAGCAGGTGTAAAACTGAATTAATTTAAAACACGAAAATAATGACTTTCTGGACTGCGAACTTAATCCTTGTTCTGACAAAGTTCATAACCTGGATTAGTTCTACTCTTGTCGCTTTTTAAGATGTTATTTTAATCCGCTTCCATGCTAAAAATAGAATCAAATTGAAAAGTCAGCTACATTCAAATATGCGTTTGTTTTTTCTCTAAAATAATTGTATAACGTAATTAAAATTGTTTTCAGCCGAATTTAAAATTAACCATTCACTAAGAAGTCTGTTCTTGTCTCTTTAGTCCTCTTATTTGGCTCGTGGTATCTTTAGGGTTTGTACAGAGCGTGCAAAATTCAAAACCACTAAAAGGCAGACATAGGCTCAGATAGATGATGTAGAGACATACCTACGAGACAGACAGACAAACCTACGAGACAGGTGTACGGGATACACCTACGAGACAGGTCTACGAGACAGACCTACGAGACAGCCATACGACAGCTTAGTGTCCCGACATGGAAAAGTTTAAGTTGAAGAACGAGGTGAATCAGACCAAAGAGCTCAATGGCTCTAGAGCAGGGGTTCCCAACATTTTTTTTACTCTAGAGCACATTCTAAAATATCGGTAGGGTGGCGGGCACCACCTATTTTAAATCGACAAACTCCATCCAGAGGCGTAGCGACTCTTCCCGTCACCCGGGTACAAATCTTAAACTTTCGATTTGCACCCCCCCCCTGAAATTTTCGATTTGCACCCCCCCCCCCCCCCCCTCAAATTTTTTATTTGCACCCATCCCCCCTAAACTTTTGGTTTCCATCCCCTTCAACCTTTCAATAATGTTTATGAAAAAAATTCTGTCTCTGTCGAATAGTGAGAGGCGGGCACATACGAATCATTCGGCGTGCGCCATGGCGCCCGCGGGCACGAGGTTGGGAACCCCTGCTCTAGAGCCATAGGGATGGATAATCAAATGCCCACAATTTCTAAGCAAGTGGTCAAAAAATAACAACTGAAACGCCTACCAACCATTTCTCTTTTGATCTCCCTAACAAGCTATCAGCGTTGGAGTATTTGATATGCACTACATCGGCGACTGTTGTGATAACTATTTTACAAACGTATTGCATATGTGCTGAGCTTCTTGTCCACAAATGAAATGCAACATGTCGAAGCGCCGTTCTTAACTCGAGTTATCTTCTGGGTCGACCCGAAATTATGTGTCTAAAACATTATCCTATAATCCAAAGCCCACTTATATTAAGTATAAAGTAAGTTACCCTTAGGACCTGGTGGTCAATCGGGCAGTTTGGGGCGTAAAGAAATTTTTTGAGACCCATTTTTTCGTATCTCAAACCTATAGTTATATGAGTTATGTGTAGAAAAACTGCATTCGAATTCGCTCGTTGTTAGTTTATTGCTGCGGTTTAAAATTTCGCTGACCCATTCAATTTTCAACTTGTGAACACAGGGGGGGGGGGGGGGGAAAGAAAACTTTGTTGTGATCGATTGCACGTTTTATATTCGTGTGAAATATAGATTTTCTTTAAAAATCACTAAAAGCTGGATAAGCCATATGTCGACACACATCACTGGTTTTAAAGTTTTTTTTAAACATTTCTTCTCACGTTCCCCTAGTTTTTTTATATATATGCTGCTGATCCTCCTTATCCCCCCACCCCCCACCCCGTGACATTGTAGTTATATTTAAATTATTGGATTTGAACTTCCTCTTTATTAGTTGTATTTGCATCTATTTTTCTGCATACGGGTTTAAGTTATATTAAGCCTATTGGCCTATTTTTTTGATTCTACGAAGTACTTCAGTATAGGACCGTTGGATTTTGAATCATTTAGAACTATCTCTATTAAGTGATTGTTTTTTATTTATTTTCGTATTACTCTATTTGTTGATAAAATACTTGATGATTGTGTATAATATATGTTTTCTATATTGTATGTGCAGGTAGTCGAGCCATGCTGCATCCCAGTGTCCGTCTTGTGACCACCATACTGACCACAGGCAGCTGACCGAGTCGTTCAACTTTCGTGACCACCACCTGTAGAACCGCCCACCTTTCACCTGTCTGCATTGATCCAACATGGCGTCCACCAAAGTCACCTTCGTAACAGGCACAGCCGAGGTCCGAAGACGAGGTGAGTGATCGCTTGACTCGTGGACGTGATGCGGGAACTCGTGGGTTCGAATCCAGTTGAAGAATTGTTTTGACAGTCACTGCGGGGGAGTGGGGAGGTGTATTTCGGACGCCAACGGTGTTTGGCGTAAAGCGTCATTAACAGGGTGTGCGACGTTAATGTCTGGTGCAAGACGTCCTTCTCTGGTGTAAGGCGTGCTTGTCTGGCGTAAGGCGTCCTTCACTGGTGCAAGACGTCCTTGTCTGGTGTAAGGCGTGCTTGTCTGGTGTAAGACGTCCTTCACTGGTGTAAGACGTCCTTCACTGGTGCAAGACGTCCTTCACTGGTGTAAGGCGTGCTTGTCTGGTGTAAGACGTCCTTCTCTGGTGTAAGACGTCCTTCTCTGGTGTAAGACGTCCTTGTCTGGTGTAAGACGTCCTCTGGTGTAAGACGTCCTTCTCTGGTGTAAGACGTCCTTCACTGGTGCAAGACGTCCTTCACTGGTGTAAGACGTCCTTCTCTGGTGTAAGACGTCCTTCTCTGATGTAAGGCGTGCTTGTCTGGTGTAAGACGTCCTTCTCTAGTGTAAGACGTCCTTGTCTGGTGTAAGACGTCCTTGTCTGGTGTAAGACGTCCTTCTCTGGTGTAAGACGTCCTTCACTGGTGCAAGACGTCCTTCACTGGTGTAAGACGTCCTTCTCTGGTGTAAGACGTCCTTCTCTGGTCTAAGGCGTCCTTCTCTGGTGTAAGGCGTGCTTGTCTGGTGTAAGGCGTGCTTGTCTGGTGTAAGGTGTCCTTGTCTGGTGTAAGACGTCAATATCTGGCGTAAGACGTGATTGTCTGATGTAAGACGTCCTTTTGTAAGACGTCCTTGTCTGATGTAAGACGTCCTTTTGTAAGACGTCCTTGTCTGATGTGAGACGTCCTTTTCTGATGTGAGACGTTCTTGTCTGATGTAAGACGTCCTTGTCTGATGTAAGATGTGCTTGTCTTCGTTGAAGTGGGTCGAACATCATAACACATACGATATTTTCGCTGTATGTGATATCGAACTCTGGACATACAAATTAGCAAGCGCGTGATCTACCACTTGACCATACCCCCTCATTACTTACATTATAGGACCTTCATTACTTCTTCCTTATCTAAAGTTTACAAACGCAAAGCAATTTACTGGTATAGTGTGGTCCAGTGATAGTTTTTGTTGTTCTGTAAACAGAATACGGGTTCGAACCTAAAAGGTTTATATCTTTACCTGTTTCCTGCTTGTGTTGCGTGTACAAGCAGACAGGTGTGCTTTCCTGCAAGTGCTATAGGCTTTCAAACTTGTACTAGCTAATAAGTTCTTTTTTTTTTTTTTTTCATTTCTAGGAAATAAAACCAAAGATGAAAATTTGGACACTTATGACAATCTAATAAGTTCAACTTCAAAAAACTCCATATTATATTAACCGAATCATTCCAGAAATTTCCTTAATGTTCAATATTAAATTTTTCTCGATCAAAGTTTAAGGTTAAATGCATCTCATTGTAAGTTAAATATATATTAACAGCTTAGATAATTTTAATTTTTTTTTAATGCTTTAACATTACTTGCGTGTTCTGTCAAGCTATTGATTTATTTTTATTACTGCTAGTGCGGAGAGAAAAATAAGAACGTTACGCAGTAGTTTTTGTTTAGAACAAGTTGTGTTGTCTCCCCTTATAGTAAATAGCCATTCGTTAAGGGGACTTAGTACAAAGAATCGGTTCTTTCAGGTGGAACATCAAGTGTCGAAATGAGTTTTTTTTATGTTGAGATACTAAAACACAACCTCAGATTATTATGAAGAAATGAGATAAATTATAAGATGTGTGTCATTTAAGTAGCTTGGTGTGTTAATGACTTAATTTTGGTTATTTGATTAATGGTGATATGGTTTTGTTTCACTCATTCATTTTAGAAATGTTTAACTCTGAAAATTAAAAAAAAAATAAAATGAGTGATATGTGACACCTGTAAGATAAACTCACTTGTATGTGGGAGCTGTAAGATAACTTACTTGTATGTGGGAGCTGTAAGATTATATGCGGGAGTTGTACGTTGCAGCTGCTATACGAATTATGTTTTAAAACGTTGAATGCCTGCGTCACAAAAATGTTCGTAGATTTGTTTAAGTGATAGTCACCAATATGTGTGTAAATTACAGGCCCGTTTGTAGGTTGTTTGTGCGGCGTCTTGTCTAGGTGCTGACAACCATTTCTCAAACGATTTAAAATTTAATTAGTCTTTTTAACGAGGTATTAAAATTCTAAAGCCGCCGTATTAAAAATGGAGACCGCGTTATTAAATTGCTGGTTGCTTCTTTCACGTGCCGATTAATATAAGGGTGGGGGTGGGGGCGTGTGTGTAAATGGCCAGAATATGGAGATAGGGTGTTAGAATGGTGGTTTTAATGCTGTGAGTGGGTTTTGTTTTACGGTAGTAGGTCGGGTGGTGACACTGGCTGATGTCTTAGGGGTTTGAGTCTAATGTAGGATTAATTATTGAGCCCTGACTAGGATTAATTATTGAGCCCTGACTAGGATTAATTATTGAGCCCTGACTAGGATTAATTATTGAGCCCTGACCCAAACTACACCTAATCGGCCTGTACATAACTAGTCGTTAGCTAATCGGCCTGTATCTCACCGGCCTTTATCTAACCGTCCTGTACATAACCGTCCTGTACATAACCGGCCTATAACTTACCGGCCTATAACTTACCGGCTTTAAGCTAACCGGCCTGTACATCACCGGCCTATAACTTACCGGCCTTTCGCTAACCGGCCGGTACCCAACCGGTCTTTAGCTAACCGGCCTGTACATACCGACCTGTACATAATCGGCCTATAACTTACCGGTATAGCTAATTTGCCTTTAGCTAACCGGCCGGTACCTAGCCGGCCTTTAGCTAGCCGCCCTGTACCTGAACCGGCTTTTACCTAATCTACATGTACGCTTTAGCTAACCGACATTTATCTAACTGTTCGATACCTAACCGGCCTTCACCTAACCGGCCTTCACCTCACCCTTAAAAATCTCGACACGATGCAGTTTTCCATTTCCTGTGTTGTTGTGAAAAGAACCGTCTTGTTTTCCGCGGGGTCCGCGTTATATTATTTCATATTACCTGTGCACCTCCCTATAAATCCTTCCTGTAAACTACCAAATTACACGCATCACGTGACTGCTTACACAACATGTTTGAGGTAACTTACTTACGCGATCCACAGACAGACGTACACACACGGCTTTTGTTGTCAGTGTGTTGACACTAGCTGATTCCATGCGGAGTTATCGCCCTTTCTCAGTCCAACGTCAAAAGTGGAGGGGGAAAAATGTGGTGCTATGATAATGAATGCTTGTCTTTGTATGCGAGTAAACAGTCCTGTTTACTTTAAGCTATTTTTGTGTGTTTGTGGAACAAGCCCCTGCGTTATTTAGAACCATCATATTTTTTTGGGGGGAATAGTTTCATATTTGTATTGTAGGCGTACAAAAATGCACAGCGGAAATTTTCGAAACAAAACCTAACAAAAAAAAATCGCGCAGACTGCTAGTACGTTACCGATGAATTGATTATAGATTAATCTAGCTGTTACACTTATGTGATTGATTGCTATGAGGTTTACCCGGGGAAAACATTGCGAGGTAGTTAATGTTTCTTGTCAGGTAATTGACACGACAAATCGGCCTGCGACACGGCAAATCGGCCCGCGTCACGGCATATGAACCCACGACTAATCAGGTATTCTAGTATGATCTTCGACACAAGGACCTTGTCAGTACATGCCTGGCTCAAAAGGCCGCCGATAATAGAACCCTAATATCGTACTTTGTGGGCAGATGAGGTTCAGATACTCTTCTAGTAGAGACAACTCCAAAATTAAACAACTGCTGCCTTGTAGTTTGTTCTTGGTTGGACAAAGGCTATGGAAGCAAATCCAAAAAGAAATGCATCTGAAATGCAGGCTGAAATCGGAGTCAGTGGCCTCAATGGCGCATAACCAGTTGACACGTATACTTAATTGTGTTGCAGGGGATCCCTTCGAACTAAAATATTAAGAACTAAGAAGAAGAAGAAGAGTACTTTGTAGAGTACGTATTTTTTATACAAGTGTTTCTGTTAAAGTTAGCATTAGAGTAATAATTGGGGTAGAGGCAGACAGCAAAAAAAATGAAACGTCTGCATATTACTGGAGAAAAGGATTTATAACAGGAAGTTATGTTATAAAATAAGTTACGCCACGAATGTGCGGGGGAGTCCTATCACGTATTTATATTTGTTGTTTGTAGGCGGAGATTACGTTTCAAATAGATTCACCCGACTGTTTGGGTTCGGGGCTATTTCTTATCCAACCTATGACTCATGCATAAATTAAACACGGCGAAGGTTTATCTTTTTTTTTTTTTTTTTTTTTTTAAGCGATCAGCGTTACCTGTACTAGTTTATGAGCAGGTGACTCGATAAGGGGGACAGTTAATGAGGGTTAAGACGTATTTACCTTGTGCTCTTATCAAGGTGGAGACGATACCTCATTAAATAAACGAAGCCGCGTTCCGTCTATTGGACATTACGGATCTCTTTAAAACGGTGTTGTTATTATCTGATTCTACATATTGTCTTGGTTTATTGATTTAACCGAAAAGATTTAGTTTGTTTGAACTGGGCTTATCATTAATAAATGAATGAACTTAAGCATTTTAAATAACACATTAATTGTCATTCCCCATCCCCAGCTTTTTCTGTACTTTTTAGTTGTCTTGTGAGTGTACTATGTTAATTCCCGCCTTTTGAACAAAAACAAATGTTCGTGTATTTTAACTAACATATGTCACGTAGATAGTTTTGAAATTTTAAATGTATATATCATAAACTACAAGAGAAAGAATATAAGAGAATATCAAAGATTAAAGTGGGTCTACTGAGACATAAAAATGGTGTTTGTAAAAAGAGAATAGTTAAAAGTAAATTAAAAACATGTAAGGAAATCTGCTGTAAGTTAATTAGAAATGTGTAAGAGTAATAGGCTCTAATGTAATTAGAAATATATAGAGTAATAGGCGGTAAGGTAATTAGTAATGTGGAAGGGAGTAAGCGACTCTAAGTTAATGAGAAAATAAGATATTTATCGGCTCTAATGTAATTAGAAATTTGTAAGAAGTAATCGGCTCTAATGTAATTAGAATTGTGTAAGAGTTGGGGTGATACAGCCTCAAGTATTTGTCTAGGCTGGTTTGTACTGTTTTCATCAAATGTCTTATCATTTTTAGCGTGATTTTATAAAACTTGAGCGCCGTGTTTAAAGTGGATTTACAGCTCCAAGATGGGCGGAGGGGAGATATAGGATTGGAGATTACAGGGAAATAACCCGCGATATAGGTTCACGGGTGGCGGGCCTTGGATTTGTTCTGTTTAAAATGTTATCAAAAATCGTATGTTTTTGTGTATGGATTTTTTTGCTATATTTAGATTGGTTTACTGCGATGGGAAAAATGCGCTGTTGAAATTGTTTAGGAAATAAATTTGATAACAAAACAGATTTGGAAACGAAAATAATAACAGCAGCAATTATTTTTAGAGCTGACCAAAACGGCTGTAATTTTTCTCACCGATGATTTATAGCGGTTAGGTTTATTTGAGGTGCATTGTCATACAGAGTTACTTAAATAATAACTTTCAGTCCCCAACATACTCTCGGTTTAATGTACTTATCCTAAAACATTATTTTTAAAAGGGGAAATGTTTAACTTAATAGATGTTTTAGCAGTAGAAATGATATGGTCTTTAATTAGCTTACAACTAAATGTCTGTCGTGTATCTAAAATTGTATCTTAAATTTTCGGTTGGATTGATAGTTCTATACATCGATAAATATATTAACCTTATCTTTTGAATTTTTTTCGGCGTTCCACAAGTGAGTTACAAAAAGTGTGGGTTGAGATTTACTTTGTAAAATGATTAGCTAAAATTGGTATCGTAGTTTAAATTTTTTTTGGACGAGTAGCTTAAATCTTGGGTATAATTAGATTGGTTGCGAGGGTGTTTTAATTTTTAGTAGATTTTTTTAGTCGTGGAAGCAGCAGAATATAGGTAGATTTACATTAGTCATATTAGCAACTTATCTTGGTTAGATTTTCTTATGATCGGGAGGTAGCTAAAATGTGGGTAGATTTACTTTTGATCGTGAAAGCAGCTAAAAATGTGGGTAGATTTACTTTTGACCCTATAAGTAGCTAAAATGTGGGTAGATTTACTTTTGACCGTGTAAGTAGCTACAAATGTGGGTAGATTTACTTTTGATCGTGTAAGTAGCTAAAATGTGGGTAGATTTACTTTTGACCGTGTAAGTAGCTAAAAATGTGGGTAGATTTTCTTTAGATCGTGTAAGTAGCCACAAATGTGGGTAGATTTACAACCGCAGATCACAGCTGATGATAACCGTGGATTAAACTTTTGATAATAAAAACGAAATTTTGAAAGAAAGACGAGCCGACGATAAAAGAGGGATGTGGGGGAGAGGTCGAAATTTTTTTTTTTTACCTAGCCAGCGGTGAGTCAAAAAAATTTTTTTTAAAACTTCCCGTTGCCATGGTAACTATGAGATATCGCATAGAGGTGCGTCATGATCCTGCAGACCAATCTCGTCTTTTAGTGTCGGTGTGAGTGTACGGGCAACTAAAGAGGCAGGTATTCACGCTCCCCCTGTCTTTACCTGCTGCCCGTGTTTCGAGATTTGGGATAAGCCGGGTTACTACCCCCTGTTTTTTTGGTTGTTGTTGTTTCAAAAGTTGGGATATAAGTTTAGTAGCGGTGGACATTTTTCGTTTGATGCTACGGTACTTTAGTTTGATGCTATTGTTTAAGGATTGTATTTCAAGAAAATACGGCGATGGTGTTGTTTGATTTTCGGAAATACTATTTTAAGTTTTTGAAATAGGTTACAAGTGTAGTTATGTAGGAATAATAATATTTACATTCATTCTACATGAGTAAAAGTAATATAGCTTATTTTATAGAGAATTAAAAGCTAAATCAATCATTTTGTAGACATACTTTTTGATACATTTGTTTATACTATTTATTAACGAATGTTCAAAATGGTATATTGCTTGTAGGAATGTGTTTTTATGCAAAGCGTTCATATAAAAGGATAAAAATTATCGGTTAAGTTTTATATACATGGTATTTAACTCAAGTAATGTTACTGTTGTTAACATGATATTTACCCGTAGAGTTTTGTAAGCGTGATATTTTCGTAGAGATGTTAACACAATATCAGCTTGCAGAACTGTTAATTTTTATTACTATTTCTCAGTTAAAGTGTTTACTCGTAGAAGTGTTGACATATGCACGGATACAGCTATTAGCATAATATTTACTGGTTTAACAGTTATATTTACCCGAAGAGTGATAAGCGTGATATTTTTGTAGAGATGTTAACACAATATTAGCTTGTAGAATTGTTAATTTTTATAACTATTTTAACAGTTAAAATGTTAACTAATATATGCAGTCGTAGAGCTGTTAGCATAATATTTACTAGTTTAATAGTTATGATATTTACTTGTAGTATTGCTCACATATGCACGGGTACATCTTTTAATATAATATTTACTGGTTTAAACGTTTCCATAGTTACTTGTTGAAGTGTTCACATATGCACTGACAGACACACACACACACACACACAAACATCGCTGTTTGAAGTTGCACTCACCATTCCCTCACTCTAGTCGCCCGGATCTATGATAGATCTGCATCAGCACGGGGTCGGGTTTGATACCACGGGCAATCGTTAAGTGAATTACATCTTTACACCTCGTGGCTGGGGTCACGGGTTACTGGCCTCTTATCGTACAATGTCTTACGCATTGAGATGAGTTCGGTGTTTCGCGGTAACCTATGTTTCCCGGTAACCGATATTTTGCGTTAACCGATGTTTTGCGGTAACCGATATTATGCGGTAACCGACGTTTTGCGGTAACCGATGTTTTGCGGTAACCGATGTTTTGCGGCAACCGATATTATGCGGTAACCGATGTTTTGCGGTAACCGATGTTTTGCGGTAACCGATGTTTTGCGGTAACCGATGTTTTGCGGTAACCGATGTTTTGCGGTAACCGATGTTTAGCGGTAACCGATGTTTAGCGGCAACCGATGTTTTGCGGTAACCGATGTTTAGCGGTAACGATGTATAGAGGTAACCGAACCCCTTCTGCTGTAGCAATGCGTAATGTACAAGTCTGTTTATGTTAATTATATGTAAAAATTTACCGGAACCGGCGGTTAGTATGGTAGGTGAAGTAGAATTCACTCGATTTTGTGACCTCTGCATGTAAAGAGATAATTTGACCAGTGCTATGCTTTGAACTTAAACTGGGTGAACTCAAAGATGTGCTTACAGACTCACAATCCCGGAATCCAAACTCGACTTTTCGGTCGTACGCTTTCGGTCGAGTGCTTTCGGTCGTGCGCTTCAGTCGTAGGCTTTACCGTTCGACTACTCCGTCCATGTTATCGTAAGGTACAATTGTTGTCAAACTTGGGATTTGTCGAGACAGTTGATCAAAAGACATGCTGGTTATGTCAAACCATGTTAAATCAAAGTTTCTATCTTCATTCGTTCTTGTCGTTGTTTAACATGGTAGTTTCAAAGTGAGACCGGTTCAATCCACAATTTGCCAGTTAGTTGGAGTTCACTACGTCGAGGCCTGCCTGGCTAATTGGAGTCCAACTCCTGAGCCGGTATATCAGTGTTACGATAGTTGCAAAGCTAACATCAATAATTGAGGGAGTGTGTTATACCAATGTCCGATAATACGACAATAATAGTATCGTCTTAAAAAGAGGCGTGTCAGGTTACTGGTGTTCACTAAATGCACTTATATGAAAGCTAAACCAAACCCTAATCCAAGTCCTACCATGAAAAGTAAAGTTCCCTTTCAAACCTGACGGTATAGGGCAAGTGAAGTAGAGTTCACTTGTTTCTGTGACCTCGGCATATGAAGAGATAGTGTGGTTAGCACTGTGTCCAGCCGCCTTTACTTTCCCTAACGACGGTCTACTGACATGAACCCGGATTTGAACTCGAGATTTACCGGCTAGCAGTTCAGCTCTCTACCGCTAGACCACTACACCCCGTGTCCTACCATAACCATTACCCTGAAATAAAGAGATTTCAGTTCTAATAAAAACCTAACAGACCTATTTTCGAATGAGTCACTTCTAGGATATTGGTAATACAAATACTCTAGAAATTCTATTGTATACATTTCATTAAAATAAATGCAATTGACACAATTTTGAAGTTTCTGTAGTCACTGTTTCTTCAGATAAATCATGATTTAATATGAAAGTTTAAGTGTATTTCTTATTGTCCCTTATTCCCCTAGATCCCTTGACACCTCAGCAGCTCCACAGTGACCAGCACCTGACCACAGAGCCGCAGACACCCCTACAGGTGAACTACGTGGACGGCAAGTGCCAGTGCTGTCCCTACGGCTACCACATAGATCTGGACTTCCTGAACTTCTGCAAGGACCTGGAGAGTGGCTTCACCCTAAGGAACCTCAAGCGTATCCAGCGGACTAAGCGCAAGTTAAGGAAGTCTATGGAAGTGAGGGGATAAAATAATTCATTATAGTAGTCTTCTCTGCTGACAGCCTATTTTACTGCTGTATTAAAGTTCTACTTGAATCTTATTTTTTATTTGTAATGTCTAACTATTACGTCACACAAAACAGGGTCATACATTTTCTTCAAACTACTAAAATTGCAGGGTTCCAACACTAACTTTCTGTACCTTTTAAAGCTCGTGGTAGTAAACTGGTATTGATTCTATAGATTTGTTACTATTTTTATTCTTCTTTGTCTTGTATCTCTGTAAGGACCCAATGACACTGACTACAAACACCCCCCCCCTCTCCATATATTAAATCTAACCTTAATATTAATGACATGGTGCTGTCAAGACTAATATACTCATTTCAAAAATAGATCCTTAAACGCAGTGTATTTTTCTTTGTGGTATTTTACTGAATTTTTGTGTATAGCTCATGTAGAATTTAAGCTTCATCATTTTCTTCTTGTGGTTAATATCTTTCTTCTACAACTTGTGTGATGAATTTCTCTCTTCTACAACCCATGTGATGAATTTCTCTCTTCTACAACTCATGTGATGAATTTCTCTCTTCTACAACTCACGTGATGAATTTCTCTCTTCTACTCGTGTGATGAATTTCTCTCTTCTACAACTCATGTGATGAATTTCTCTCTTCTACAACCCATCCGATGAATTTCTCTCTTCTACTCGTGTGATTAATTTCTCTCTTCTACAACTCATGTGATGAATTTCTCTCTTCTACAACTCATGTGATGAATTTCTCTCTCCTACAACTTGTGTGATGAATTTCTCTCTTCTACAACTTGTGTGATGAATTTCTCTCTTCTACAACTCATGTGATGAATTTCTCTCTTCTACAACTCATGTGATGAATTTCTCTCTTCTACTCGTGTGATGAATTTCTCTCTTCTACAACTCGTGTAATGAATTTCTCTCTTCTACAACTCATGATGAATTTCTCTCTTCTACAACTCGTGTGATGAATTTCTCTCTTCTACAACTCATGATGAATTTCTCTCTTCTACAACTCATGTGATGAATTTCTCTCTTCTACAACCCTTGTGATGAATTTCTCTCTTCTATAACTCATGTGATGAATTTTTCTCTTCTACAACTCATGTGATGAATTTCTCTCTTCCACAACTCGTGTGATGAATTTCTCTCTTCCACAACTCATGTGATGAATTTCTCTCTTCTACAACTCATGTGATGAATTTCTCTCTTCTACAACATGTGTGATGAATTTCTCTCTTCTACAACCCTTGTGATGAATTTCTCTCTTCTACAACTCATGTGATGAATTTCTCTCTTCTACAACTCATGTGATGAATTTCTCTCTTCTACAACTCATGATGAATTTCTCTCTTCTACAACTCGTGTGATGAATTTCTCTCTTCTACAACTCATGATGAATTTCTCTCTTCTACAACTCATGTGATGAATTTCTCTCTTCTACAACCCTTGTGATGAATTTCTCTCTTCTATAACTCATGTGATGAATTTCTCTCTTCTACAACTCGTGTGATGAATTTCTCTCTTCTACAACTCATGTGATGAATTTCTCTCTTCTACAACTCATGTGATGAATTTCTCTCTTCTACAACTCATGTGATGAATTTCTCTCTTCTACAACTCATGTGATGAATTTCTCTCTTCAGTTGATGCTGGATGAGCAGGAAGGGATTGCGGCTGACCCCAACTCTGCTCCACCTGACATCATCCACTCCACCGAGGCAGGCCGCCTGATGCACATGATCAACTACGAGAGGTCGGCCACCCACAGGATACTCAGCCAGATTGACTCGTCTGTCAACACAACCATCTCAAATATAGACGGGGTCAAGGGCAACAGATATATGTCTTCCGATAGTGATGATATGGCATCACCTTACACCCCTACACATGGGTATGTTCAACCTTATACCACCAACAGTTTAACCTTACACCCTACACATGGGTATGTCCAACTTTATACCACCAACAGTTCAACCTTACACCACCACACATGGGTATGTCAGACCTTACACCCCTACACATGGGTATGTTCCACCTCACCCCTACACATGGGTATGTCTTACACCCCTACACATGGATATGTCCAACCTTACACCCCTTCACATGGGTATGTCCAACCTTACACCCCTATACATGGGTGTGTCCAACCTTACACCCCTATACATGGGTGTGTCCAACCTTACACCCCTACACATGGGTATGTCCAACCTTACACCCCTACACATGGGTATGTCCAACCTTACACCCATACACGTAGGTGTGTTCAACCTTACACTCCTACACATGGGTATGTACAACCTTACACCACCACACATGGGTATGTCCAACCTTACACCACCACACCCCTACACATGGGTATGTCCAACCTTACACCACTACACATGGGTATGTCCTACCTTACACCTCTACACATGGGTATGTCCAACCTTACACCTCTTACACCCTTACACTTAATGTTAAATATATATGTAACCAACCCCTATATATAAATGTGTTGAACATTACACCCCAAAAAAACAAGTAAATTTTTTTTATATACATTGTTTTTTGGCTAGATCTTTGTACATTATTTAGAGAATCACACATTCATGTTCTTTTAAAAATGTTCCATTATAGTGTGCAAACTTTTGAAATGTCAAACTTTACACAACTAAAAATAGCTCAACATGCTTATTTTTTAACCTCAGGGCCCCCTACCCAGCAGATGAGCACGTGACATACCCCCTGTCCATCTCAGGTCGCACTGACTCCTTGACCTCCCTGTCGTCAGTGTCCACCATGTCCAGTGAGACCCACATGATGCAGCAGGGTCAGTTCCAGCCCAGCCAGAACTATCAGAGCTCTTACAAGACCACTACAAAGGTAGGTGGGGTAGAGGTAAGCTGGGAAACAGGTAGACAGGCAAGAGGTAGATGGGGAGAAAGAGGTAGGTGGGGCTAAACAGGTAGATATGGCAAAGGTAGTTGGGGAGAAACAGGTAGATTGGGAGAAAAAAGGGTCCTAGGACCTTTGACCATAGGGGGTTTGACCATAGGGGGTTTGACCACAGGGGTTTGACCACAGCGGAGCTTTGACCATAGGGGCTTTGACCATAGGGGGTTTGACCACAGCGGGCCTTTGACCATAGCGGGCCTTTGACCATAGCGGTGCTTTGACCATAGGGGGTTTGATCATAGGGGGTTTGACCATAGGGGGTTTGACCACAGGTGTTTTCTCAGCAGAGGGTCTTTGATCACAGGTGGTCTATCAACTGGTGTTTGATCACAAGCACTGTGTCCGGCTTTCGAGATCATAGGTGTTATGTCCACATAGGGTCTTTGATCTCAGGTGGTTTGTCCAATGCTGTTCATATATGGTTAGGATTTATTTTAAAAGTTGCTAAATTATATTTTAAATTTCGACATGATGTAATAATATGGTCAAACATATGTACTGACATATTTGCGTGCTATAGCACATCTGTCATTTAGTTAACCATTTTATGTATTACATCTTTGACTATATTGTTGGTAAGTTTTATATCATTTTTTATCCTTTATATATGCTATGTATTTTCAAGTACTTCTACATTATTTATTTGTGAAACTTGTTATATGTCGCATTATTTGTGTTTCATTTATATTTAAAATAAATCTATGAGGTCTAGCACCAGCCTTTATGTGGAGACTAAAATATAGTTCTTGGCTTTTTTTTAAATACATGTTAATTTCTATTAACGTACTCTCAGGAAACATGTATAAAATCATGTTAATTGTATCACACCTATGATTAAAGCCAGACACAGCGCTTGTGATCAAACACCAGTTGATAGACCACCTGTGATCAAAGACCCTCTGCTGAGAAAACACATGTGGTCAAACCCCCTATGGTCAAACCCCCTATGATCAAACCCCCTATGGTCAAAGCACCTGTGGTCAAAGGTCCGCGCACCGAAAAAAGGTAGATGGGGCAGAGGTAGGTGGGGAGAAACAGGTAGATGGTGCAAAGGTAGGTGGGGAGAAACAGGTAGATGGTGCAAAGGTAGGGAGAAATTGGTGGATGGGGCAGAGGTAGATGGGGAGAAACAGGTGGATGGTGCAAAGGTAAGGAGAAACAGGTAGATGGTACAAAGGTAAGGAGAAACAGGTAGATGGTACAAAGGTAGGTGGGGAGAAACAGGTAGATGGTGCAAAGGTAGGGAGAAATTGGTGGATGGGGCAGAGGTAGGTGGGGAGAAACAGGTAGATGGTGCAAAGGTAGGTGGGGAGAAACAGGTAGATGGTGCAAAGGTAGGGAGAAATTGGTGGATGGGGCAGAGGTAGGTGGGGAGAAACAGGTAGATGGTGCAAAGGTAGGTGGGGAGAAACAGGTAGATGGTGCAAAGGTAGGGAGAAATTGGTGGATGGGGCAGAGGTAGGTGGGGAGAAACAGGTGGATGGTGCAAAGGTAGGGAGAAATTGGTGGATGGGGAGAAACAGGTAGATGGTGCAAAGGTAGGGAGAAACAGGTAGATGGTGCAAAGGTAGGGAGAAACAGGTAGATGGTGCAAAGGTAGGGAGAAATTGGTGGATGGTGCAAAGGTAGGGAGAAATTGGTGGATGGGGCAGAGCTAGGTGGAGAGAAACAGACTGATGAAGTTTGACTTCCTGGCAGTCAAAGTAGAAACATGACAAGTGTTCTCAACAATTGCACCTAAGCAGTAAACCCACTTGTCATGTTTATGTCTAAATTGAGTTTATTTTTGTGGTGTATTTTGTTAAATATTTAACAAATTGAAGGCTTTCATAGTTAATTGTCTGTTTTTCCATTAGGTAGTAATAACATTTTTGGGTTCTAGCCAAAAACTGTTGAGTTTAGGCTGTATTTGATCAATGTTACAGGTACCCACTGGGTCATGATTGATCTATGTTACTGGGTCATGTGTGACCCATGTTACTGGGTCATATTTGGCCTATGATACAAGTTTAACCAAATGTGTAACCCACATGTGTTTGTATTGTTAGCACATTAGATCTAATAACCTTTCTATTTGTTTTTAAAACTCTTACCATGACTCTTATAATAAAAAAACAAAACTGAAACATTTGATATGACTCCCTTTACAATGATAAAAAAAAAAAACAATGCAACTCAAACATTTGATATGACTCTCTTGACAACAATAAAAAAACATAATGCAACTCAAACATTTGATTGGACAGATTTTTGAGACCCCGGTCCTGGAGATGGCAACAGCTGAGATGAAACACTACTCCACCACATCATCTGCCCAGCTGGCTGACCAAAGTCCAGAGGTCATTGAACCAGAGGTCAAAGCCCAAGTAAGACAAGATTTGTTTTGTTTTGAGCTCTTTAATAAAACCACAACATAGACTCTCAAAGCCCAAGTAAGACAAGATTTGTTTGTTTTGTGCTCTTTAATAAAACCACAACATAGACTCTCAAAGCCCAAGTAAGACAAGATTTGTTTGTTTTGTGCTCTTTAATAAAACCACAACATAGACTCTCAAAGCCCAAGTAAGACAAGATTTGTTTGTTTTGAGCTCTTTAATAAAACCATAACATAGACTCTCAAAGCCCAAGTAAGACAAGATTTGTTTGTTTTGAGCTCTTTAATAAAACCACAACATAGACTCTCAAAGCCCAAGTAAGACAAGATTTGTTTGTTTTGAGCTCTTTAATAAAACCTCAACATAGACTCTCTTGTTTAATTACATTTAATCTTAATGTTAATATATTTAAGCTACCCAATAAACAACACAAACATTTATTGTGTTAAAATGTTGGCTAAAATAAATTATCATGTGTTCTTATAAAATTAATTTGTCACATCATCAAAACCTGATAGTAATTAATTTAATGCTTGAAAACAAACATGTTACTTGTATCTTTACAAGTGTTAACTAAACACAACTTCTTAAAACTTCAAACAAGTTTTGTTAAGCTACATTTTTTATCACCCCAACACTGGGCACATATTCAAGTTTTATTCCTGTTATCCAGAAAACCCAGCCCTCCTGCTGTATCTCAGATCTAGTGAACTCCACTTTAAATTTCCTCAGAATCTGCCCAGTTTATTTTTAAACATGGATTTTTAATTTGTTTTTTGCCTTCCCCAGCTGCACAGTCCCAGCAGGCCACGCCCCCCGTCCAACAATGACCCGTCTGTGAGGGAAACCCTGGCCCTCAACCAGCAGCGGATCCGTGAGCTGGAGGAGCAAGTGAAAACTATTCCAATCTTGCAGGTAAGGGGGCTGGTCTAATCTTGTCCATCTCAAGCCAGTCTGGCTCATGGTTTATTTTTATTGTTGGGTACATTTTGTAGATGTCAATTTTTGCTGTTTGTGCTCAAGACACATGGGGCCGCCACAGAAAGCTCTTTCAACTTTTGTTGGTCTCATGTAATTTTCCTGGCAGTCCCCCATGACTGTGCTGCTTCTGCCAGCTGTTTCCTCACTGTGCTTGTCCATGTCTCCCTTGGCCTTCCTTGTTTTCTTTTTCTTCAGGCAATTTTGTATATGTATCTGTTTGTATTAGGCTATGGCTGGTAACTGCTGTGCATGGACTACAATTTTACTGTGTTGCAGAACTTGTTCCAGAATTTGTAGCTGGACATTTGTTTTTAGACACCATTTTTCTATGTATATATTTATAGAAAAGATGTGTTAAAAAACTTGGCTACTATGCACAGTTACAGGACATAATTTCTTAACTATGTGATAACCTGTAAATGAGAAGTGATAGACATTATTATGTAAAAAAAATGTTAACTTCTGGTCATTAGAATTAAAAATAGCACATGCATTTTTTCACCTATTTTTAGACTTAAGTTTTTATTGTCTTGAGGTTGTTTATGCCTGTTTTAAATTCTAAAAATCTTTCTGTTCCTCAGGTGCGTATTTCTGTGCTGAAAGAAGAGAAACGCCTTTTGAACTTACAGCTTAAGGCAAACAAACCCAGCACCAAACCCCTGACCAGTTCTGTGGGGGTGGGTGATGGCAGGGTTGACGTCCAGGAAGTCATTGACAAGTCCATCTACCCTGTACGGCAGTTCGAGCTACCCAAATCTTTCTCCATGGATGGCGATACCACCCCTCAGAAATCACCCGTGGTGAAAAGCCCACCCGCCACATTCCCCAAACCTGTGAAGACAGCAACCGTGGGCGTGGGTGACCACAGCGTCATTGAGCCCTACAACATCCAGCCGGACCTCCCCACCGGTTACACCACCCACAATAACCAGACCCACACGGAGATTCACACCACCACGCTGGTTGAACGAGAGAAGCTCGTCAAGAACATCATACAACCACCGTCGTTAAACCTCTCCTTCCAACACACCTCTACACACGACATCATGGACAGAGATCCGCGAACACCAACGCAGCCCAATTTCACCATCAACCAAATTCAACGAAGCACCCCTAAAGCTTTGACGCGAACAGTCGGTGTCGGTGATGGCAACGTCAATGACGGTTCAGGTCTTCATGTTCATGAGAAAGAGCTGAGAACAGTCATCATTGGGCAGAATTCTCCCGTCGCTAAAAGGAATGTTGGGATTGATTGTAGGGTCCCCACACGAGACGTGGGGGTTTCGTTTATGTGCGATGAGGAGAAACCGACAACAAGAACGATTGGGGTGAATGTCAATTATGACACCAGTAATATAATGACGTCTTTGGATTTCAAAGGTGAAACACAGCTGCGGCTGGCCTTACGAGATGTACTACAGAGGAGTGTGCGTAGTGTTGCCACTAATTGTAACTTTAAATCTTCTACCACTGACAGCTCCACCTTGACAGACTCCAAGAGTGGTGTTAGCGTTGGGTGTGGTGATGAGGAACAGAGAGTGGATGTTGAGGTGCGGCCAGCTTCTGTGAAAAAATCTTTCGGCATGGTCGCCAAACCGGAAACGGTTCCGAAATGCGTGGCCACGGAGAAGGATTGGATCTTCGACGCCAGTACCAACACCATCACACCGGAACAGTACCACAAAGCCTGCATGACGGATAAACTCAAGCAGATTTTCGCCTCCACCAACACCGACCCTCCTCGCAGGCACACGGCTAACATTCAGACCGAACACAGCATGTTTGTCAACACGGACCAACTCAAGCATTCGGCCACAAACACGGAAAAACAGGCGGGGAGCTCCGTCTTTACGTCCACTGACATCATCCCTAGATCTGATGTAGGGGTCAACACCACGGAAAAGGTCACTGTCGTCATGTCGAAGTCGGACGCTGGCGTCAACACAACGGAAAAGGTCACTGTCGTCATGTCGAAGTCGGACGCTGGCGTCAACACAACGGAAAAAGTCACGGAACTATTCCAGCAGTCGCAGTCCACTGTGACCAAGACCTCGCCGCCTGTGCTTAAATCTATCCTCAAGAAAACTAACTCAACTATTGATAAAGGTGTTGTAGAAAGTGCCGTAGAGGAGGAGCCGTACTCATTTAGCGAAACCACAGAAATCATCACCCCCATGAAGGTGGTCCAGAATCTCGAAACAGTTCAGCACAGCTCGCACCAGTCCAAAACGTCTTTACACCACAACCAAACCGAGTCGATGAAGACATCGAGCATGGAAGATGGGGACAACCATTTCACCAGCTACGAGCTGACCAGGAGAAGCTCAGCCCCAGCCACGGAGCATGTCAACACAGGAAGGGAGAGCACTGAGTATCAGAGTACTGGGTACAGGGACTTGGCCACAAGATATTCAGCAGCTGATAGGGTTTCCCCCACAAAAGGGGAGGACAGTTTTCAAGAGACGGTGGTGGAGCATTATATCATAACAAAGGACGGCACGAGGTTGGTGTCGGAGGAGAAGACAACCACCTCCTCCAAGAGTGGTGTTGTCACCCAGTACACCAATGGTGATGGGCGGTCTCACCAGTCTTCTTATGGTGACTCTGGTTCTTTTCAGTCTTCTCAAAGTGAATCCCGGTCCTGTCAATCTTCTCATGGTGACACAGGATCACATCAGTCTTCTCATGGTGACACTGACACAGGATCACATCAGTCTTCTCACGGTGATACAGGATCCTATCAGTCTTCTTTTGGTGAGTTAAGGTCTCATCAGTCTTCTGTTGGTGACTCGGGATCCTATCAATCTTCTCATGGTGACTCGTGGTCCCGTCAGACTTCTCATGGTGACCCACGGTCTCATCAGTCCTCCCTTGGTGACCATTCCTCAGTACACAGTTACTCCACTGATGATGTACCCGACCACCACAGCAACGGCAGCTCACACACCTTCAAGGTCACTGGCGGCTCCAAAATTGAGCGAGGACACATCACCGTGGTGACCAACCCTTACAAAACTGTGGAGAATTTAGCCCAGGCCTCAGCGCTGGAGGAATCAGATTATGTGGATAACGACTCGGTTCAGCGGATTTCTAAAACCTCGAGCGAAGGAAATTTGTACAAGGACAAGAAGGCGGCACGCAAGGAGAAAACCAAATCTTTGGACACAATCTACGACATGCGTAGGGCGGGGTCTGTGGAAGACTTCATGCCTGATGATATCAGGAAGTACATGTCTATTGACCCCAGTACATCCAAAGATTCCGGCTTTGGTGAAGACCTACAGCACAGGTTTTCAGGGGAATCCTCCTCCTCCACGTTAGTCTCCCACCTGTTATCTGGGCTGTCTGCCGAGCACGACGCCGCCATGAGGTCTGTCAGCGTGTCTAAAACAATCACCACCAAAACCACATCTCAAAGCGGAGACTCGGTCATCACCTGTGAAAAGCAAACTGTCGTTACACCGGATGGGAAATCTATTACAACCATTACAGAAACATTAAAAGACGGACAGACAATTGTTAGACAAATTGAGGACGATGGCGACGAACAGAGTTCCGTATCTCAGGCGTTGGATAACATGGACACGTCCAGGTTCACGTCGTTGTATACCACCCACAGCGGCATCAACCAGACTAGTTCGGACTCGAACCTCCTGAAGGTGGCCGAGCACTTGGACCCAGGCACCCTGAGCTACAGTGAGTCCACCATCACAACGGTGGGGGAAGAGGGGGCGCAGCTCAAGTCCTACGGATCTTTGGATAGGAAAACTGGCAAGCTGAAGTCCATCATGAAGCAGAATTCAAATGACCCGGATAAAAAGGATAAAAAAACTGGCATTAGATTCGCTGAGACGGTGATTGGTGGGTAAGTCGTGCATATTTTTTTTCTAAGACATTGGCCAGATTATAGAAATACCTCAGCATTTTGTCAAACATTGCTTTATGTTCAGGGGCAGACCTAGGGCATTAAAAAAATCTGTGGCTTTGACCCAAAAATGTAATAAAAATAATAATAACAATAAATTTAATTTTATATTGGTAGCAGCAGTAGGCACAGGGGCCTTTTTTCACATTCTTCATTTAAAAGTAAAACAAAATTTTAGCATTGCAATTAAATATAAAATCATATTAGTCATTAAAAACTTGAAAATAAGAAATATTTGAAATAATAATTGCATAGTTTTAATTTATAATGGAAAAGAATATAGTAAATAAAATGTCACACAATTAAAACCAGAAAAAAACATTAACAGTAAGACAGATAGCCCTCTGGTATTAGCTTGACATCTTTATGTGCTTGTGCTATTGTAGCTCAAACATCTATTGACAGCCTTTGATATTCACAGTAGTGTGATACATTCTCTTTCTGTTTGATGTTCAAATAAGCCGTATTGACATGGCATCCTCTGGGATTTAGTCTGTTCTGTACAGGTGCACGGTTTTAATTAAATAAATAATGTAAAACTTTTATTATTAAAATATACAAACAGCGCTGTTTCTTCTGGCATGCCTTTTTATAGATTTTAGAAATAATTATGGAATAGAATTTCTTCCAAAACCCACCCAAAAATGAGGGGAGTTGTATATTAAACAGAGATAAATAGAAATGATAGGCAGGCTAAAAAATGGCAGGAGCTTTTGATAAGAGCAGGAAATATTAAGCCTTCTATCATAAAAAAAAATCTTGTAGCACAATGTGGTACATAGTCTGGGAGGAACAAGGCAGGCCTGTGTTTATTTTAAGGCTCCCGGGGCTGTTTTTATAAACAAAACCTTATTTTTGTTACAGTCTTGTCAGCATATTGCAGTAGTTGGTCAATTTTGTAAAGTGGGTTAAGGCTGATCTAGGCCCTAGAACTTACAATTCTATTTAACAGGTTTTTTTAATATCTAGTCTAGGTTAATACAAATTGAAATACATATAGATAAAATATTTATAAATACACATGCATAAATTCTATACAGTTATTTATATACTTATATATTTATGAATATTTCTACCTGACGTACATTGATATGATACAGTAAGAAATCCTATCCACCTACCATTTGTAAACACTTTACCTATCACCTCCCCCCCCCTTCCCCCCACTCCCTCCCCACAACAGGTAAAAAAAGAAAATTTATCACAATGTACAACAGATTTATTTTCCTAGAGAGGGGCATTTTCTTGTCAACATATGTTTCCTGCTGTTGTGTATGTCAACATCTTTCCCGCTGTTGTTTATGTTATTCTACCGCTGTTTAAAGAAGTTGAATGTATGTAATCAAACTCCCCTGGGAGCAGTTAGTTAGTCAGCCGCCCCCCACCCCCTCATTCCTACCTGACTCTCTGGATTGTTTGCAACAAATCTGTCAGGTTTATAAAAGTAATGTATTACACAAGTAGCCTGGGAGGTGCTATGTTGGGGGGGGGGGGGGGGGAACAGAAATGAATGAGTTGATCTGATGATGGTTTGCTAATAAAAATGACCAAATTTGTAAGGTGCATCTACAGTCATGGGCTTATTGCAAAAAGCCTATCATCTTATTATCATTGATGTATTCCATTCTTTTTTTTAAATGTCAACTAGAAAACTGTTGGAAAAAAATAAATGTCCTTATCTGTAAGCCATAGCCTAACTCTGGACTTGAAACTAAGCTTTTGGGTTAATCTAGTGTAGCTTCTGCATGTAAATTCAAATGTAGGCTGTTAAATGATTGTAAGTGAAGAATTTTGAATTTTTATCACATAACATTGTATCAGTCTTTTATTGGCGATAGTAAATACATTCATAAAAACACATACAGGCTACATTTTATAAAATATCAAACTATTTTCTTTTTAAAAGAAGTTTATCTCTATCAGCACTAATGTAAGTGTATATAATTATATAATACAAGTTACTTACTGTTAGCTATGAATTATATTTGAAGTAAATAACTTAGAGTATAGTATTATATTATTATTATTATGATTATGTGTGATTACAGAAGCATTGCAAAAATAGATTGTGCTGGTGCCTCTTCTTTCAAATTTAAACATACTATGAACTCATTAATAATTTAAAGTTGTGATAAGCGAGCTGCTCTGTTCAGTCCTTTAAAAAGAAATTCTAGAATATTTTTATTCCAACCGCAGGACTGGTAAAAAAAATTCTAGATTATTCTTTATTCCATCCACAGGACTGGTAAAAAAAAAATTCTAGATTATTCTTTATTCCAACCACAGGACTGCTAAAAAAAAATTCTAGATTATTCTTTATTCCAACCGCAGGACTGGTAAAAAAAAATTCTAGATTATTCTTTATTCCAACCGCAGGACTGGTAAAAAAAATTCTAGATTATTCTTTATTCCAACCGCAGGACTGGTAAAAAAAAAATTCTAGATTATTCTTTATTCCAACCGCAGGACTGGTAAAAAAAAAATTCTAGATTATTCTTTATTCCAACCGCAGGACTGGTAAAAAATAAATTCTAGATTATTCTTTATTCCAACCGCAGGACTGGTAAAAAAAAAATTCTAGATTATTCTTTATTCCAACCGCAGGACTGGTAAAAAAAAATTCTAGATTATTCTTTATTCCAACCGCAGGACTGGTAAAAAAAAATTCTAGATTATTCTTTATTCCAACCGCAGGACTGGTAAAAAAAAATTCTAGATTATTCTTTATTCCAACCGCAGGACTGGTAAAAAAAAAATTCTAGATTATTCTTTATTCCAACCGCAGGACTGGTAAAAAAAAATTCTAGATTATTCTTTATTCCAACCGCAGGACTGGTAAAAAAAAATTCTAGATTATTCTTTATTCCAACCGCAGGACTGGTAAAAAAAATTCTAGATTATTCTTTATTCCAACTACAGGACTGGGTCCAGTTCAGAAGAGGATGATGATACGTCTGACTCCGACTCAACCAATTCTTTATTCCATTCACAGGACTGGGTCCAGTTCAGAAGAGGATGATGATACGTCTGACTCCGACTCAACCACAAGTTTCGAGGAGGGCACGTATGACAGTCAGCAGGGAGAGATCACCTACAGGTGTAAGGATGACGAGGCCGTGGCTCAAGGACTGCCCGGTGCCCAGATGTTTGACCAGAACATTAGAGAAACGTAAGTTTGTGTGCTGCTGTATGGTGAGTGACGTTAGTAAGTCTCGAGTGTGGTTAGACGTACACTCCTGGGGCTGCATGGTGATGTTAGTAAGTTTCAAGTATGGTTAGACGTACACTCCTGTATTGTATGGTGACATTAGTAAATCTCAAGTATAGTTACATGTACACTAATCAAATGGTTCTCAACTTTAAGTACCTATACCCTGATCACTCTCTTAGGCCAGAATATAGAGAAGGTATTCAAGAAGGTAAATCTATCTTACATTTGCTGATTAAGTGTAGAGGGTCTCGTGTTGCTTGAAAGCTACATGTACCCTGATCACAAGATTCAGCAGTATTTCAAAAAATTACTACATGTACCCTGATCATTGGGTACAGTAGTACTTCTAAAAAAATTTCTAAATGTACTTGATCACTGGATACAGCAATATTTCTAAAAAAAATTACATGTACCCTGATGACTAACATTGTACACAAACACAAAAAAAATCTATGTGCAACAATGTGCATCCATTTCTTAGTACAGCTGCTTGTACCCTCATCACTGAAATGTGTGTCTAGAATGTCAAGAGATTTGTCATCTATAGTTGATAGATTATTTAAAGGGCTCTCAAACAAATATATCTGCACCCTAAGGAATATAATGTTTTATTGGAATTTTTAAGTGCTGATCATAACATAATTTGCTCAATTCTTTTAAAAAAATTGTTCTTAAAATTCATGGGTATTTATTTATTTTAAAACTATAAACAAACAAAAGCATCATAGAGCAGAAAATTAGCTTATCAAACAAATATTTTCTTGCTAAATAAAGAAAACAGAATACCTGTAACTATTTTTTTTTGTTTCGGCTGAATAAACAATTTCTAGTTGTTTTTTTTTAAATTGTAGCATAAAGAATGTTTACGATGTAAAAAAACTTGGTTTGACCTCAGATACGAACTAACAGAGGAGCTGAAGGAGGCGTGTAATGTTGTGGCGACCTACCTCATGGACTCAACAGAGGTACAGACAAAACAACTGGTAAGTTGGTTTCCTTCATAGCTCACAAAATCTGCTTTATTTATGGTTGTAGATGCCATTTTTGTCTGATAATTGTTAAAATGTAAGTTAAATTCTATCTGGTTGTTAGTATCATTGTTAAATTCTGTCAAATTGTTTTTAAAAGCTGTCAGATTGTTAGTATCATTGATAAATTCTGTCAAATCGTTAGAATCATAGCTCAGCTCTGTCAGATAGTTAGTATAATTGATAAATTTTATCAAATTGTTAGTATCATAACTAAGCTCTGTCAGATTGTTACTATAATTGATAAATTCTGTTGAATTGGTTAGTTTCTATGCTGTTGTTAGCTGAACTATGTCACATGTTTATTAATCCTGAGCTGGTGCTATTTATATGGTGAGGCTGCTTTAAAAAATTAACAAGTTTTAGGTTTCATCAATTCTATTCATTTTATTTTTTTCTAGTTAGCTCTGTATTCATTGAAACTAAATCACCCAATCATAATTCTTCATAGGTGTAAATGACCTAAATGAAACTTTTACACATATAGCTAATAATTTTCTCGGGTTTTTTTTATTTACTAAACCTAAGAACTGTTTGAAACTGGATAGTGCTACAGTAAAATTTCAATTCATCAATTCAAGTACTTAATTTGTAAAACAATTTGTATCCCTTAACAATAAAAATAGGTTTGTATCTTTTGATATTGAACTAGTTTACTTTTGGATATAGTTTTGACCTACTCTTGTTCTCATTTCCCTCCCCCCCCCTACCCCCCACAGAATGCCAGCCAGAATGTTCTCCAGCAGGAATGGTTCCAGGTGTCCAGCCTGAAACTGTCCAGCCCACACCAGGTGGAAGACTTCCTGTCCTCTGTCAATGAGATCTCCAAGCTTCTGCTCAAGTACATCGTCAACATGACAGATGCTAATGTGAGTTGGTTCACAAGCTTCAAGCAGTTGTGTCCCTTCTCACTCTACTCACAGGATTCTACTTTTATTATTGATGGTTGATGAGGGGGAAAAGAATGAATATTCTATCATCAACTAGTCGTGTCTCTTTTTAAATGATTTCACTTGTATTTTCAATGGTTGAAGGGGAAAAAAATTAATATTTGATCACATTTGACTTATAAAAAAACTTTAAAATATTGGATTTACAAGAAAAGTATGTTAGGAAAAAAGCTTTCCTTTTTAAGATTTAAAATAGGCTTGAATTTATTAAACTGTTATTTTGCTGTTTCATAAGATTTGTGTACAGCTGAAGAACAGTATGGTTCTTTCTTATTTTTAAGTATGCAAGCCATTGATGAGGCACATATACAATTCATATGAAAATAAAAGACTTACAAACCCACTTACAATACTTCTTTATTTCAAACCCTCCAATAAAACTGCTGTAGTTTAAAACTTCCAACAAAATTGCCCTATTTCAAACCCTCTAACAAAACTGTTGTCTCCACCCACAGGGCAACACAGCCATCCACTACTGCATCTCCCACAGTAACTTTGAGATCGCCAGCCTGCTGCTAGACTCAGAGGTGTGTGACATCAACAAACTCAACAAGGCAGGCTACACCCCCATCATGTTGGCTGGCCTGGCCAGTATACAGAGGTACGACCAGCTGGAGGTGGTCAGGAGAATCTTCTCTACGGGGGACATCAACGCCAGAGCTGCGGCTGTAAGTTGTTTTTTTCAGTTTGGTAGTTGAAGTAGAGTTTATGTGACCAGTTCTGAAAAAATGCTGTGTATACTTTCAACATCAATGCCTGTTAAGTCAGGAGAATCTTCTCTACGGGGGACATCAACGCAAGAGCTGCGGCTGTAAGTTGGTTTTTTTCAGTTTGGTAGTTGAAGTAGAGTTTATGTGACCAGTTCTGAAAAAATGCTGTGTATACTTTCAACATCAATGCCTGTTAAGTCAGGAGAATCTTCTCTACGGGGGACATCAACGCAAGAGCTGCGGCTGTAAGTTGGTTTTTTTCAGTTTGGTAGTTGAAGTAGAGTTTATGTGACCAGTACTGAAAACAATGGAAGTGTATACTTTCAACATCAATGCCTGTTAAGTCAGGAGAATCTTCTCTACGGGGGACATCAACGCCAGAGCTGCGGCTGTAGGTTGCTTTTTCTTTTTAAATTAGGGAGGTGAAGTAGAGTTTATCTGTTTCTGAGGCCATGACATGTGTAGGGATTGGGTGACCAGTACTATGTACAATACTAATCCTGTGCTTTCAACAACAAAAGAGCTTATCACTGACTTATCATATGGTTTTAAACTTAATACCTTCATGCTAGTATTTTAATGCTTTACCATCTGATTAGGCGGGCTTATTTTTTTTTTTACTTCTAGAATGTATTATATGTGTTGCTTATGTGGGGAATAGGTCTTTGTGATTAAAATGGGAAATTTTTCGTTGTGACTGGATAAAAAGATATTGTATTTTTGTATTCGGAAGCTCTTATTCTACAGAGTCAGATAAAGAAGACTTGCAAATTTAGTTATTAAGGGCAATCTAATTGACAAACCCAGTAGTTTGATAACTTTGTACATTTATGTAAGCAGTCATCCATATCCCTGATAGGTTCTATGTTTATATGTCCAATTATTCTGTTTGAAACTATTCAATGTTTGTGTATTTTAAAACGTTTTTCTTAACTCAGCTTCGCGTTTGTTTGTTTGGATGTTTGTTGTTAAAATTGACATCGAAAATTAGCCCACTTCTGATTGCTCTACAGACCTGAAATTTGGCATGCATGCTACTTTCGCCTAACAATTTCAGATGCAATCATAAAAACTAGCAATTAGTGACCGTAATTAGCTTAATTTAATTACGCCCCAAGGACCATAAAATTGAGGACATGATTTCTAAAGATACCGACAAGACTTGAAGCCTATTGACACAGTTACTTCGGCCCCAATCGATGTGAGCGCGCTGGCCGTGATCGTATAGTGGTTAGTACTTCGCGTTGTGGCCGCGACAACCCAGGTTCGAATCCTGGTCGCTCAAGATTTTTAGTCCGTGTATTTATAAACACTTTTTTAAAAACCACGTTTTTCATGTGTAGCAACGGACTAAAAAGGAGAACGGACACGGTAACACATTGTTAACGGTGACACGGTTGGTACGCTGGGCATGCTAAAATACACATAAACACGTTTTTCCTTAACTCAGCTTCGCGTTTTTTTGTTTGTTTATGGGAGATTTGATCACGTGATTCGTGAGTAGATCTCCACGCCAGCAACGTAAATTACACCCTTTCTCTGTTTAAAGCGTATCGGTCGCTCAAGATTTTTTTAGTCCGTGTATTTAAAAACACTTAGTCAAGTCATACTTAATCAAGTGATTAGATAAAGTAGAAAATAAACTATATAAAAAACTTTTTAAAAACCACGTTTTTCATGTGTAGCAACGGACTAAAAAGGAGAAAATAAAATACTTAAAAAAAACTTTTTAAAAAACCACGTTTTTCTTGTGGACTAAAAAGTAGAAAATAACTATTTACATACATTTGATGACAAAAAACGTGGGTCGGGCAGATGGGTCGGGAAATTTGATGGTGAACGTACCCACGTTTTTTGTCATCAAATGTATGTAAATAGTTATTTTCTACTTTTTAGTCCACAAGAAAAACGTGGTTTTTTAAAAAGTTTTTTTTAAGTATTTTATTTAATCTGCAATTATGACCTTTTTAAGAATTTTAAAAATGTTTTTGTCGTTCTGTTATTAAATTCAGCAGATGGCTAGCACCAATACCTCATGTTTTAAAATTTTGCTGTTCTCATGTTAGACCCAGCAGATGTTGCTGATTTTGCCAAGTTTATAGCCATGTTTTAAAATTTTGCTGTTCTCATGTTAGACCCAGCAGATGTTGCTGATTTTGCCAAGTTTATAGCCATGTTTTAAAATTTTGCTGTTCTCATGTTAGACCCAGCAGATGTTGCTGATTTTGCCAAGTTTATAGCCATGTTTTAAAATTTTGCTGTTCTCATGTTAGACCCAGCAGATGTTGCTGATTTTGCCAAGTTTATAGCCATGTTTTAAAATTTTGCTGTTCTCATGTTAGACCCAGCAGATGTTGCTGATTTTGCCAAGTTTATAGCCATGTTTTAAAATTTTGCTGTTCTCATGTTAGACCCAGCAGATGTTGCTGATATTGCCAAGTTTTATCGCCATGTTTTAAAACGTCACTGTTCTCTCATTAGACCCAGCAGACAGCGCTGATGCTTGCCGCCAGCCACGGCAGGGTGGAGATGGTCAAGCTCCTGGTGGAGGAAGGTGCAGACATCAACCTGCAGGATGTGGACGGCTCCACTGCGCTGATGTGCGCCTGCGAGCATGGCAGCATAGAGATTGTCAACTTCCTGTTGTCCCAGCCTAACATTAATGCCACTATCACAGATAACGTAAGAAATTTTATATGGTTTAAAAATTTATCCTCACATCTATTTATATTTCAAATTCATTACATGCATGTTAAATTCACTTTTTACTTTATTTTAATTACTTTAATTTCTAGTCCAGTAAAAGCTATTTATAATTAACATTTGTAATTATTACATACGCAACCTGATTTAAGTGAATCTCCTAAAGGACAGAAGATAAATTATGTGATATTCATCATAATGACATTTTAGTTTTAAAGTTACATGCATTGATTGCTATTTATGAATAAATAATAACAATAGACATTGATGTCTGTATTGTTTTCAAAATTATTTCAACATTTTTTAACTTTTCTAAAAGCCATTTTTTTTCTTTCTGTGTATCATGACCACATTCTTGCATTATTCATATGTTTACTTTCTTTCTTTGTATGACTTCATTGTTGCATCATTTCCCTATTGTCTTATATTTTTGTCATGAACACAATCTTGCATCATTCATATCTTTTCTTGGTGTTTTTTTTTTTACATGATTACATTTTTTCATCACATTTATTTTGTTGAACTTCTGTCACCATCACATTCTTGCATAACCTTTTGTTTTCTTGTACCTCATAATCAACATCTTTCACCTCTCCTGTCCTGATTTGATGCTGTAATTTTAAAACTTTTGTTTTTGACCTTTGACCTTGGCACCATCCAGGAGAACAGCAGTGCCCTGACCATAGCCATGGAGGCAGGCCACAAAGACCTGGGTGTTATCCTATACAAACACCTCAATTTTTCTAAACCTTCTTCACCTGTAAGTCACTGCATGAAATGATTTATTTTTTTTTTAAATTATTACCATTATATTCTGCTTAACAAATCTCAATGCTTATTGATTAGCAAGTCTAAAAATTATATCAAATAACCGCTGAAAGAATGTAAATTAATTTATTTATTTTCCCCATGTAATGAATGATATTTGTTATTTGTCTTGAGGAATTTGATGGCCAGAGAACATTGGTATTTTAAAAACTACATTCAACGTGTTGTAGGTCTAGGGCACTTAAGTTTTGCAGTGTAATATTAAAAAATAGGATTGGAAATTTCTAGTTTAAAGTTTATTTCCTATATGCATATTAATTTATTTCAGTTTAATCTTTTAATTTTCTTTTGATTCCATTACGGTATGTGATCTCTTTTAAATAAGATGTTTCAATGTTTCGTTTGTTTTGTTGCTTGTCTTTTAAGTTCAGCTCTTCTATGGTTGTCATTTTTTTAAGTGACCATGCACAGCCATTTTTCTTCTTTTTAATTTAAAATCAAAACACTCGCAGCAATTGATTTTGTGCTTTTTTTATTTTTCGTAATTTAACTTTATGCTGTTGCTTGCATACTTTTGTATTGTGTTTTTAAATGTCTGTTCTATTTCTTGTATTGGAGTTCATTAGATGAATTTGGTCTTGAATGTAATTTATTGTTCTGGGTATTTGACTAGGTATTTTAAACCATTGTTTTAAAAAATGAAAATAATTAAAATTTATAAATTATTAATATGCCTTTCTTCTAACATTACGCAGCATATGTCGAGGGTAAAACTACCATTTTAACATCCTTTTGGTTTAGAGCCACGCCCATTTTCAATTTCATTCCTTAAGTTTTTATTTTGCTTTGATATCTGCCATTTAGTATAGTGGCTTAGATTAGGCATTTAGTTAGTTGAAAAGATGTTGGCGCTTACACAGTTTCTTTATCATTCATTCTCACCAAAAAAAAAATATTTAATTATTTTTGTTGTTGTTTTTTTTTTTGCTGTTTCACCGTTGATGGATAGGTAAAAAAAAAAATTAGAAATGTATGGGCCAGTGAAATTTATTTTTATAATACCTCATCATAGCACTAAATAGAGAAAAAATTAATATATTATTTATTTGTTTTGTTTTTTAATAAAGTTGATATTTTTAGTATATTGGACCACTCATATCAACAAACCCATGTTCATTGTTTACCTATTCATTACCCATGCTTTACATATTACTGCAGTCATTTTACACAGCCTAGGTTGGTATTCCATCATTTAAACCCTTGGGATTTCATGCTTTTGAAAACTTAAATTGCAGCTAGTTCACAAAATGCATTTAACCAATGAAGGGAACAGAAGAAATCCAGAGGGTTGTTGATGAATACCAACTGTATATGTCAATATATTTTTTGTTCCTTTTGCATGCTTGCCTATCTACTTATTCCCTGTAGGGCTACCACAAGAAGAGGAAGAGTTCCAGTTCACCTACCCCCAGGTAAATTGTCATTGTTGTGTTTGTAACCAGTCCCTCACTTGACTAGAGAGTTACACACATATTACCTCACGTTACTAGAGAGTTAATTATCAAACAGAAAATAACTCACTTGAATAGAGATATACACACATGTTAAACAAAGTACCTCACTTGACTAGAGAGATACACACACGGCTAAACAGAAAGTGCCTTGGTAAACCAGAGAGATATACACGTTACCAAAATAGAAAGTAACTCTCTTAAATATAAAGTTACATACATAAGAAAGCAAAAAATACTTCACCAAATTAGAGAGTTGCAAACATTACCAACCAAAAAGTACCACACAACCATGAAGATATACACATTACTAATCAGGAATGACCTTACTTTACTAATGAATCAGCAATGAAGTATTCAGAAAGAAGCACCAGAAAAATATGATAAAAATACCTCAGAAATCCAGAAATTCCAGAATTCGCAATAAGACACCTCAAGCAGCAAGTGTACCATACCAATGTTGCCCTTCACACATGACATATATTATTTTTAGACACTACATTGAATGATTTCCCTTCTAATTAGCAATAATTCAAATTAATCACATAGATTTTTTGCTGCATTTTTCAATAACAGCAACAAGTGTGAAAATATTTAATTATGATTTTTTTTAAAACTTTCTTTCATTACTTAATCCTGATTTTGAAGCCATTGAACTGTTTGGTATCTAAGGTTTTATTATTTCTGCTGCATGATTGTTAGCATTGAGATAGTGCTGTCTGATATGCATCACACTGTATTAGTTGTAGAACATACAGATACATCAAAATGTGTTTTAGCTATTATTAGAAACCAATCAGAGTACAGCAATGCAATTTTTGTATGTTTAATATAATTAAGCTGAAATTATAGAAAATAATAATGTATAAAAAAAAGCCATGTAAATTAGAGAAAGTTTAAAGAAAAGAAAAGTGTACTAGTGAAATAACAAATAATTCTTATTAATTTTTGTAGGTTTATATAGGTAGCATAAAATAAAGAACTTTCACAAATTAAAAATGAATTTTAAAATGTTTTGTTTACACATGAAATTGAGAGTTTCACCTGTTAAAATAATTGATTGAGGTTATCTAAGACAAACCACATTACTCATGACACTGCTAATCATGCTAACAACCATAAAATCTCCACAAATCAAATTTTTATAAAATTATTTTTGTTGAACTTGATGTTTCAGTCTTTAAATGGCTGCAGAGAGCTGAGGTTTGCGGCTTTGCCTAGCTAGTTTTCCTTGCCTAGTTAGTTTTTCTTGCCCATCTAGTTTCCCTTTCCAAATTTTTAAACCCAACCTTTGCTTTATTTTGCCGCAATTAAATATTTTTGAGTGTTTTCTATTTAACTAATTTATTTTTAATTCCCATGTTTAAATGATCCAAGTTTATTTATTGTACAAAGCATGCCATTACTTTCACCTTATATATTTTTACATAATATAGTATCTACTACCTTAATTAGAAAATTTAAAAATTAATAATTTAAGTACACAATATTTTATAATTATTTAAAACTTTATAAATAATACAATCTTAAAACTTTAATTCTTATAAACATATCTTGCTTTTAAAATTCTTCCATTTTAAAATAATGTAATCATGGGTGTAGAGTTTTTTTTATATTATGATTTTTGAAAATTTATATTAAAAGAATTTTAAAATATTATTTTTTAAATACACTATTAACTTTATAATCTCAGTTGTGTTTCTTGCAGTGCTTAATATCATGTGTGGTTTTGGAAATGTGTTGTGTGTGTATGTATGTGTATGAATACCATAGAATAAACTATGTTATCCATATTTAATCTACTATACTTAAGCTACACAGATGAATGTTTTATCACGGCCACCCATTATCACTACAGCTATTTTTTTTTTACTAATCTGTTTTATTACTTCTCTGTACAGTGTATATAGAGATCCATTTACTTCACCTAGAAACCAAACACATCCCTTCCCCATACACCATAATTTGAACATAGTGAAGAAAAATAAGGTTTTACTTAGCATTTATTTTCATCACATAACCAGAAACATAAATTTAAATATTTAAGTGTTACTTAACTTGAGCTTAAGTCTTTGAATATTAATTAAATGAAATCCAATTCAAAGTGTAGTTATTATAGTAACAACGCCATGTATAGAAGCTAGATATGTCACATTTCTCTGACAGTAGCCTCTCTGAACAGCCATACAAAAGTTAGATATGTACTTAAGAAATTTTATTTACATATACATTTTTAAATTTATACCTAATCCATGCATCATTCTCAAGTTTAAACTAACAAAGTTAAAGCTATAATTAAGTTTAGCAAATTTGCTGCCAAAAACAGAAATCATCATATGTGAATACTCACCTGTACATCAGCTAAAGCAGTTTAAAATTAACAATTATGCAGCATAATGTATTTTGTTTTAATCATAAAGCTTCATTATACTCAGTCATTTTTTTTTTCAATAGGTCATTTTGTTTAAAGTTAGGATCTTCTAACACAAATTACCCCAGTTAACAAAAATTGGTCAATTAACTAAATTGGGGTTAAATATTTCAAGTGATTTATTGTGAAGTTAATCATGTAGGTTTACTTTATGTGGGTTAAAAAGACTAGTTAACTAGATCTAGTAGGTTTATCAGTTAACTTGATATAGATTAATATTGGTTATTCTTTATTTTTTCATAGTCACATGATCCACTGAAACCACCTGAGTCTACACTGTGAGAGTGGGGTCAGCCAGAGTCTACACTATAGGAGTGGAGTCAGCCAGAGTCTACACTATAGGAGTGGAGTCAGTCAGAATCTACACTATTTGACCAACTTAAGAGGAGTCTAAAATTACAAGATGAGCATCGGGGAAGTCTACGCTGTCGGACTACCTTGAGAAGTGTCTGCCACTTCAAATAGAGACATCTTCATCTTTTTCTTAACAATATAACAGAATATTTTTAACATACCAAACACTACTGCTTGATGAAATAATCAAAACAAGTTTGTTTTATTTTAATCTAATTATCTAATTACAGTTTATTAAAAATGTAAAGAATTGAATTTTTTTTTTAAATGTAGATCTACTTGTTGAAAAATGGATAATGCACACCATTTTGTTGTGTACATAAAGGTGTCAACTGTCACCAGTGTTTGAATGCAGAAACTACCACTTGGTAGTTTAAATTTTGACTGTAACCTCACTTTCCAAACTATCTATCTATGCACTAAATACTAATAGATATTAATTTGTCAATCTTCCATTCTGTACATTCAGTAAATATTTTCTTTTTTTTTGAGTGTGTGAGAGTTTTAGATTTTTAAATACTTTACCTTTTTTTAGTTTCTAAAGTTGATGTGGATTCAATTTCTTGGTTCAAATCAAGATATACCTATTCAACTACAGTGTTTTATTTTTAATAAAGTAGTTTTACCTGTCTAAAACAAACTGTGGTTTGCAATTAAATGTTACAAGGAAAAAAAAAACCTGTTGTAACCTGCATGGTCAGGAGCACTGGACTTAAAAACCTGTGGCCATTTTCTTTCAACTAGCCATTATGTGCTCTGGTCACCTGTGTTTGGTTGTCACATGACCAGTGAAACTCTACTTCACCTGTCATTAAATGGAGATGGGACATTACACTCATATGAGTGTATCATAAAATCAACTTTTAATGCCACTATAATTTTTTGCACATACTTCAGAAACAAACAGATCAACTCTACTTCACCTTAAAATCTATTTCTACATAACAGTTTGAGCATAGAAGTAATTTTAGATAAAATATTTCAATTTAATGTTGTGTTTCTCAATTGCTTGTTTCCAACAGACTTATACTGGTGTGTTTACATTGTACATATATCACATGCATGTTGTTTTTATTCCTGACATTCCATGAGTTCAATTTGAGTTGAGGGAAGGTGAATAATTTATTCTTTACAAATGAACGCTTTGAGTGGAAATTGTAAGGTCCTTGTGGGGGAGAGGCTTGGATATATGCAAGTGGAAGAGGTGTGGATATATGCAAGTGGAAGAGGTGTGGATATATGCAAGTGGGAGGGGCTTGGATATATGCAAGTGGAAGAGGTGTGGATATATGCAAGTGGGATGGGCTTGGATATATGCAACTGCAATGAATAACTCTGGAAGTCTAAGTGTAATGAAATAACTTACTCCTTCTATATGGGTTTCAACTTTCCACACAATTTGGATTCTACTTTAATGTCTATGTTCTTGGTTTACATCCTACTGTATTTTAGAGGTTATCTTGTTTTTACATTTCTTTATAGTTTTTTTTTTAATTTTAATTGATTAATGAAACCACATGTGTGAAAATGTAAAGATTTTGAATGACTATTTTTGTTTTGCAGCTTAAAATGGCAATTTTGTTGTTTTTTACTTTCTCGTATATACGTAGTATAGAGAAAGTATTGTAATCGTGCAAAAAAAAAAAAATCGAGATTTTTACAAATCTCGACGTTTTACACCTCACTGATACGGAAAAACATAATTTTGCAATCTTGTCCGTATGTCTGTGTGTGTGTGTGTGTGTCTGTCTGTGTGTCCGTGTGTAAACACGATAACTTGAGTACCGTTACTGCTAGGTTGATGAAATTTCATATATAAGTATTTTATCAAAATCGTAGATCCGTATCAACTTTTGAGCGATTTCCGATAACCGGAAGTGGTACTTTTTCTACTTTGAATTTTTCAAAAGCCTATAACTTGAGTACTATTTCAGATAGATAAATGAAATTTCACATGTAAGTAAAAGATCTAATTCTCTACCTTCTGTTAAATTTTGAGTAATTTCCGTTGACCGGAAGTAGTAATTTACGCTACTTCCGATTTCTCAAAAAACGAATGTAAATTTTAAAAGTACTAATAATATTGCGCACTATTATGCGCTTTTTTATTGGGCGTTCACTTGGTGTGCAATTAATTTGTCTACGAGATTTTATTCTATTTTTAAAACTTTAAGTATTTAAAATGGATTAAAAATCATGTCTATAGCCCGAGTTCCCATCCCCTGTTATTTTATATAAAAATATTCGAGAAAGTTTAGGGGAGATCACTCCCGGTTTATTTGTTTTGTTTTGTTCCTTAAAATTACCAATTTCTTGTTTTTGTTTTAATGCTTAGGATGACTGCTGGTTTATGAACATTGTTCTCATACACAATTTTTTTTCTTATTTTCTGTGTTATGTGATGTATTTTTAGTTACTTAAGTTTATTTCTCTTGGATGTTAAATGGATACTTACCTAGGACTATGTGCATATTCTACCTCAACTTTAATACTCTCATGGTTTCTTAAAGTTCCTTCTCATATTATACCTGTCCCCCTATAACAAACTTGGAATTGCTAATTTAAGTACAAATTTATGAACATAAACATTGTTTTTTTTTTTTTTTAATTTAAGGTTGTGTCTATAAAGTTTTAATTTTATATTTTATTGCTAATTAAATCATTTTTTACCAACACTATCACACAAATGTAGCGTAATTACAGGTATCAAATGTTTAAATATATATATGATTTTACATAAAAATATATTTCTAAATATTTGTATTATAAAATTTATCTTAGAATATAGTCTTTGTAACATAAGGAACATTATTATTTTGACGTGAAATAATTTTATTAATGTGCATTGTGTTAAGTTCATATTTTCATCTTATCATTATATAGAGCGTATCTCAATATGCACCATCATTACCTTACCATAACACATCTCTTAACGGAGCTCAGCTCACAGCACTAATCTTTTCACCTGCCTTAAAAAAAAAAGAAAATTACATATACTGCATAGAACTTAATGAAACCTGACATTTTAAAATAATGAAGTTATAAACACATTAATCAATTATAATTAATTTTTTTTACCCCTTGTGTACCTGAGAACTGAATGTATCCAAACACACCTGTATCTATCGGGTTCTTGCATTTCACCTGGTGTTTCCTGACTCCCAGGTAGGATACCTGCTTTGCATTTACATGGAATAATAATCTTTTGGGGCGCTTAGAGTTAAAGGTGATCTAATGGTATTATACAATTCCTGCTAAATAACCTAGACTGTGTAGCTTGTATTCATATACTCACCACAAACCTATTCATATGTAACTCTTCTTTGTTGAAACAAATAAAATGTGTTTTTATTTTTTTCTTTACTAGACATTTATAAGCTAACTTTCTTGCCAATGTGTTTGTTGTTTTTTAAATGTAAAAATAAGGTGCATAAACTAATTGGAAAAACTGATTTCATTAAATTCCATTATACAGTAGATATTGCAACCAAGGATAGAAAATATTTACAAGCACACATTGGAAGAATCTGTATATGTATGAGAATATAAAATACATATATATCCTGAAGAATTCTGGGATAGTCAACTGTGACAGCCAACTAAAACAGCTGTAATTTTTTGACTGGGAACATCCCTGAGTCCACCCAGCTCTGGTGGGTACCTAGCTCACATTAGCGAAGGTAAAAGTGGCTGGACATAGTGCTGACTACCAATGTTCACTCTAAGTTTTTCGCACGCATAGTAGTTTTGAACGAGCCGTGCAATCATTTTGTAAAGTACATATATCCTTGCACATTACTTTTTCCCCTTAGTGAGAACATTGCTGACCACACTATGCAATGTCACAGATACAGGTGAACTCTACTTCACTTGCTTCATGAACTTTACTTTATAATTTTTATTGAATGGGAGGGGTAGGCAAGAAGACTTCTGTCCATGGTTACCTCTTAACTTATGAAACATGGATCGGCATCAATATAATGTTGATTGTTAGATTTTTAAAATTTGATTTTTCAGAATGTAAACTTGATGTTATAAGGGACTCATTGCTGTACCTGACCCTCTAGCCTGCTTAAATGTTCTGTAAAACTGATGTGCCTTGCTGTTTATAGTTAAGTGATAAGATAATTATGACAGACTGGCATATGTAACCTATACACATTTGATGCATGGTGAAATTTTTATTCAACAATTTTACACAGGATGTTAGATTTTAGCTGTTTTAGTAGAAATTATTGCCCTTTTTATTTTATTATATGGATGAAATGTTGGTTGATTATATCTTGAGATGTGTACACGTGCATATACAGTAAACAATAAATGCTTTTGAATCTTTGAAAGTTATTGTTGTTGTATATTTTTTTTTAAGAATTAGAACAAAAATTTTGATAGTATTTAAATGGCATAAGATAAAATATTTGTTGGTTCTGTTCCTTTCTAAAAAAAAAAAAGACAAAGAAAAAAGAAAAAAAAAATTTAACAAGGGAAATAATTCATTAAATGAAAATAATGTTGAAGCAAAGAAACAATTCATCATTGCAACATATTAAACAATTATCTGAGTCCAATATCTGTAAGTATCTATTAGAGTTGATCCAATTTAAATAAATTTAAGTGGAATCCAAGAAGATGACGTGAAGGCAAGTCTTCAACAAACATTAGACCCTGGACAAATATTTATTAAAAAGGTGGGTTTTGACTGTAGAGTTCACCTGTTTCTGTGGCCTTGGCACATGAAGGTATTGTGTGCTTAGCACTATGTCCGGCCACCTTTACTTTCCCTAATAAGGGTTTGGTAATCATCTTAGCTGGGTGGACTCAGGGGCGTTTTACTGACATGAACCCGGAATTGATCTCACTCGAGAGTTTTGGGTTAGCAGTCTAGCGCACTGTAATGATTTGTCTCTTATTAGATGAGTTTTGTATGAAAACAGAAAAAGGTAGTGCGTAGATGTAACTGATGGAATAGGCTTCATTATTTGGAACAGGAATCAATTAATAACTTAAACATGTATAGAAATTTGAAATATTTTTTAAGTGATCATGATAAAACAGAATATCAAATGTATTGTTTCCTACTTAGTAAACCATATATTACACCACACCACAAGAATATACCACACAAACTCAACACAAAAAAATCTGCACGCAGCTACATCACATAACAAACACCACACAACAAAGTCAACTTACACTAGTTAGCCTATTCTATGTAGACCAACTAATCCTACATCACAAACACCATAATATATTGTGTAGTAATAGTTCCGCGCAGGGGAGGTAACTTACAAACAGGTTTGAGAAAAAGAATTCTAAACTATTTTCAATGATAGCTTCCCTTTGTAAGGAGGAGAAAAATGAATGAATTAAAATTGTTTTTAACTTTAAACATTGATAATTTAGAAAATTGTATTATAATCGTTATTGTAATTTGAATAACAGCGTTATTTAAATACGTGTAAAATCGAAACTACAATTTAAACATGTAGATTTTGTTTTTGAAATTTGTATTAATGAATATGCCTTCATAGACCTAATTTCATTTTACAAATAATAATGGCCAACATCGACCTATTTTAGAATCACGTTTTTTTTTAAAAAATTAGTTATTAGATACATGGAAATTATATTAATGTGATTGAGCATGTTGATATAGGCATACTAACTAGCTACCTGCCTTCTTGTAAGCTGAAACGTGTGCTTTAGAAATTATTTTTGTTTAATTGTGAACCATCAAGATGGACTATGATTAAATGGCTAATTTATAAATAGAAAAAAAAGGAGACAAGAGTATGCCTATGCTTTTCTTCGATCTGTCATTTTGGCTTGTCGTTATTTTTAGTCTACCTAAACCTAATTTTTGTTATAGACCTACACTGCATTCACTGCAATAATATTTTCCTTTGTAGCAAAAGGTTAAACATTTCGTTGAAAGTCGGGGCCCAATATTTGGACTGGATTCGAACCTACACTAATGCCAGCGGCATTCATTGATCATGTGAACTGTGAACAAACGGACAACATTAGTTAACTTCTGAACGACGGTAGAAAAATATTTACCGACCGGCGTTTCAACAAGCATTAGACAAGTCTGATCACCTCATCCCCCCTCCACCCATCCTAGTGATCTATAAACAATGGCCAATTTTCTCCACCCCTCCCCATCTAGAATCTAGCTCTCTCTCTTTACAACTTGTCTGCTGCACAGACGGGATTGTGACAAAACCACCAAGTGTGAAGACACGCTCTGCGAGGCTTTTTTTTTCTCACGCGTTGAGACAAGTCTGAGGCGCTGTCAGGGTAATATAATATATTTTTCTTTATCTAAACGTTTATAAAAATCAAACAATAAAATAATTGTATAATATAACAATATTTTGGTTAAATTATCGCAAGAATTCAAAGTAAATTTAAAATAGTAATATTTCGAAATAAAATGTCCCTAACAAGGCCTCATTCATGTTTACATCTTGTCAAACCGAATCTGATTGGCTGACCTAGTCCCTCGTCTCTATAATGAACGAGTGTATGAGAGAAAACATGCTCCTTCGTTGGCTCAGTGACAAGTCAAGCAGCTGATCGGTTAGCACAAATGAACTCGAAGTTCATGGACTATACCATTCTCACCAGAACCTTCCCATTGAGCGCATGGACTTTTCTACTTGTGAAGTAACTCTGAATCAAATAATTCCTTGGATATAATTTGCGAAACAACTGTTTTATTTTGGAAGTATAAAATAAAACTTTGCAAACGCTTGGAGGAAAATAAAGTAATAGTTAGTGCCTGTTGTAAAAAAAAAGTAATACATTTTTCAAATAAATTGAAAATTGAGTGAATTTCTTGAGATTATAATTGACGGATATTATCACGTGCACAAGATTATTCTTATAGGCCAGGATATAGAGCCTTCAGTTATGTGCGGACCTTTTTCTCTTGCATATTAAAAATAGGTAGAATAGAGAAGATTATTGCACGGATTTATAACCTCGAACTGTTTATAAAAACTTGTTAAGGTAATAGTGATTCTTTTCACATTTTTAACATAGATGTTGCATATTTCTTTAGGCCCTAAATTTAAAGTAAATATTTTTTTCTAATGCTATCAGTGTTATGCAAGCCGTAGATCTAGAATATCTGGCAGTTGTAAAAATGCGTAAAGTGGTCTACCTTGATACTCTAGATCTGGACGTCTAATTTTTGCCCTATGGTTGGTGGATTTCGTGTAGAAAAACGTCTAGGCCTACTGTAGACTGCTAGATCTACTGTAGAATAGTGCAGACTACAGTACGAATGTTACTGGTTATCTAAAACGATATGCTCATTTTTTTAAAAACTTTCACAGACTGATTCAGATTGTGGGCCTTAGATGTTAGATTTAATCGGAATAATTAGTTTGTTGTTTTGGTGGCTTTGTTGTGGGGGTGGGGAGGGAAAGGGGTTACTAGCTTGTTGTTGTTTTTAATTAATGATATGAAAGTAAAAAATTGTGTTGACATGTTATGTGTTGTACTTTATAACTGACTTGTGACTTATCGCATATTATGATATTAGACTTATGTTGATGGTTTCCTTCAGTGAGAATGGTAAACATTTTAAAATTATTTACTCTACATTTAGTGCCCAACTTTAATTAGTGTTTAATGGGATGTGTACTCTGGTACTAGAACTATGATGCAGTTGATTACGTCAAACTCAGTAAACTCAGTATATTAGGCCCTACCATCAGATAATTAATTTACAAGCTTCAGTGTACAGTGATGGATTTACTTTTGTTTTTTTTTTTTTGCGCTCCGAAGAGTTGGAAGCCTACTTCACTGATTTTTTGCTTAAAGCGTTGGGCTTATTTCTTCATTAAATGTTTTGGTAAGGGTTTAGGTGTTGTAATGTTGGGTCCAGGGTTCAATTAAACTAGTGTCATTAGCGCAAATTTCAAATAGGCCTAAAATCTAGATCTATATGAAGACAAGAGGGTACGGCTAAATGAAAAGTGCGAAGTTAATTGCTAGATTTTTGTCAACTTAGTACTAATAAAATATTACAGGCCCGCGGTCTCGGTGAAATTCAGATTCTTAAAAACAAATTATAAATATTTTAATGCATGACTTATTTTTCCCAATCAGTCCGTGGTTAGCTTGACGTTATATTTTATTGCTCTCCAAACTGGCCGTCAAATTTTATTGCTCTACATTACAAGGACGGATCTGGAGAGGGGTGGGGGACGCCCCCCCCCCCCCCTCTCCCCTCTAGCAGACGTGTGCTCGGTGTAATCAAGGACACGGCTTATCGACAGCGAGTTGAACTCCCGCCAGTAGACGGAGCGGGGTGTCTAGAAAGCGGTGCAGTTTATTTTGGTGCGCCGCAGTAGTGACGCGAAGCAGCGGCGTAGTTGGTGGGATGAGGTGTGCGCGAGGTGGGGTTTGTTTGATATTTATGTTTTTAAAGTACTCTCGCCATGCGTGACGGAAGTTGGGAGATGACAGGGTTGGGATGGGGGAAAGGGGTGGGTAGAACTCAATCGGTTTATTAATTATTGAGTTTTATTGTAAATACATTTTTCATAAATGAAATAGTTCATTTTCTAATCGCAAGAATTATTTTTTTTTACTTCAGTGTTGATGTTTTTTTTAACTATAGGCTTACCCGTACCATACATTAGAGTAAGTGTTAAAGTTGTATTTTTTAGGGTTAGGTTTAGTATTAGGGCTAAGGTATGTTACATTATACCAGTGTACGCGTGTTTTTCCTCCCGTGAGAGAAAGGGTAACTGATGTAACGTATAACGAGATAGATCTAGTACCGAGTCAGATCAATTGGCTTAAGCGTACCATTTCATATGACGAGTTCGAATGTTAGGGATTATTATGGATGAACCGTACCCATATATCCATACAATGGGACGGAATGGCCTAGCGGTAAAGATAGACTGCAAACCTGAAGATCTCGAGTTTGAATCCGGGTTTAAGTCAATATAACGTTCAGCTCTGATTGATACCTACCTCGTGTTAGGGAAAGTAAAGGTGGCTGAACAATAAGCATGAACGAATGTTTTAACCCTCTTGGTTAAGTTTAGGTCCAGGTTTTAGAGTTAGGTCAACATGACCTTGAAAACTAAGTCACTAGACGAAATGTGCGGCGGTCATTTAATTGATAAATATTTTGAAAATAAATGATTAGACAAATGTTAAGAGTCGAGTGGTCGTGTTGATAACCACCCACAGCGCTTGATGTCGGTGGTTTGGGTTCAGATCTGAACAGCGCGGTCCAGGCTAGGTCTTAAAACTTTAGTCGCTGAAGTACTGAAGTCATTTACAGACTTCACGGCGCATTGATTGGTTGGTTTCACAGCACGCGCGGAAAGGGGGGGGGTAACGTAAAGGTCACCGCAGTCACCTTTCACCTTTACACCCCCTCGCGCATCCGGGCATCCATTCTTGTATGAGTACTCCCGCATCTCAGGTTATACCACGACGGTAACAAAAAAATACTCCATCATGGGATGGCGTGGTTGGATGGTAGAGCTTGTGTCTGGTTACCTGAAAGTCTCGAGTTCGGATCCCGGGCTGGAGTCTGTATGACGGCTCTGAGTACACCCAACTCTGATGAGTACCTGACTCACGTTAGGGAAAAAAAGGCGGTCGGGCGTAGTGCTGAACACACTATCCTCTTTTATGCCATACTTCATCTGCCCCCCATGTGTCTTGGGCACGAACGAGAAAAAAAAATATGATGATCATAACTTAAACGTAATCTAACGGCTTGTTGCTTGCTGGCTGAAACAAACACATTGACATACCGTTGAATGCACTCTAATATTATTATTTTTTTAAAATGCAAATAATAATAACTTGGGCTAACATTTTTTTTATATTTTCCCGTCACAGATTTGCAATGGTGTGTGACGTCACAGCACAGCACTCTGGAGAACGCGACAACGCGTTATTGGCTCTAGTCATCGCTAGGAGACTCTCACCCTCATAAAACACACACCTTGTGTTTGATTGTTGTTGTTTTTTCCAAACTAGACTAACTACCACCTTAGCTACACATTCGCTGTTTGTTTACATTTTCTTACAATTCTCTGGATACCGCTCTCCTATTTGAATGTCAAGAATGAACTCAGACTCGCGAAACGATCCGATGCTGTCGAGTATTCAAAACGAAGAGTGGTTGAAGTTGTTAACCCGCTCCACGGATTCGCCCAACGAATTCGCCTCGCTCGCCATGCTGCCCTGTTCGTCCAGCCCTTTCACTCTGCCCGTGGAGGGGCTCCTGAGCCCCGAGCAGGGGTCGTCTTTCGGCGATTTTTGGTCAACGGAACGAAAGGAAAACTCGTTTGTGAAAACAGAAGTGGAGGATAGTTTTCCTGATTCGTCGTGTGTGGTGTCTAATGAGGACATGAAAGAAGATGTTGTAGATGATTTGGTGAGCTGCGTACCCATGCGGGATGTCAAACAAGAGATCGAGGATAATGACTATGACGTCACAATGACACCGTCGGGTGAGAGTTATGACGAGTACGAGGAAGAGAACAGCTGTCATCAAGCGAATGACACCTGTCATCAGGTGAATGACATCTGTCATCAAATGTCTGAAGCCGAAGCTCGAAAGTTCGTCGAGGAGCAATTCCAGAAGATCGCCTTCGTCCCGAGTTCAAAACTCAGCCAGCGGGAGAAAATCTCGTACATCCTCGCGAGAAGCGACTGCAAGGAGTTCACCGTGGAGAATATATTAAACTTCGACAAGCGGAACGCCGAGTCCGCCCGAGCATGCGCGAAGATCGTCCAGAATATTCCCCAGCGGTACAGGTGGGACTGTGTGAGCCCCCGGGACATCCCCTGCTGCTACACCATCGTGGCCGACTGCAAGAAGGTCTCCTCCCGGGATAAACCTCCCCGGCCCATGAACGCTTTCATGATCTGGGCCCAAGGCGCTCGCCGGCTCATCAATGAACTGTGTCCCAAAATGCAGAACGCCTTAATCAGCGAAGCTTTAGGGTACTACTGGAGACAGAAGAGCGATGAGTTTAAGAAACAGTTTGAAGAGGAAAAGATCAAATTAAGACAGTTTCATAACGTGGAGTTCCCCGCTTACAAGTACAAACCCAAAACGAAAGTACAAAAAGCTAAAGAGAAACAGGAACTCTCGTTGACGCGGGCCAAAATGCGAGCTACGGTAAAACGCGAGAAGCTGACGCGAGGCGTGGAAGATTCCGAGCTCTACAAACGTCGAGCCAACTCAAAAATAGGTCGGCCTAAGAAGCTGGCGGATACAAGGATGGCGGGTTCTTCGGAGAAGACCCGTGGTCAAAATGAGGCTTCCATGGCTGTGTGCAACTCGCCTTCTAAACCAGGGATAAAAGACATGTTGACTTTGAAAATCATGAACGACAAACGTTTAAAGTCTGAAGTCAGCTCTAATACTTACAGCAAGGTTCAGTCCGCATTTGGACAACTGAGTCCTATAGAAGTTGACGGTCCCGGTGTAGGCGTGTTTGACAACATAAACATCATGAACACAACAGATCCAGGTCGTGAGGCGGACGTTGACCCCCATGTTAAAGCAATGACGCCGTCTGTCTACGACACCCCGGCCAACACCCCTCCTCTCAGTGACGAGCTCCACCACTCTCCCAGCCAGCCCCTCCCCACGCCAGCATCGCCCCTGCCCTCTATACCACCCAGCTCGCTGTATAGCCCATCCGCCATCTCGCCATCCAAACCAGCATTCAAGCCATCCATCAGTTCCATCCTCAGTGGTCACTCCACCGGCCACTCCACCGGTCACTCCACCGGTAACTCCACCGGCCACTCCACCGGTAACTCCACCAGCAATGCTCAGAATCTCTTCCCCTCCCAAGTCATCGTCCCCAGTGCCTTGAGAATACAGACCAAATCAGACCAAGACTACATCATCACGTTCCTCTCCGAGGCCACGCCCCCCACCAAATCCTCAACTACCCCTTCCTCTTTCAAACACACCGCGCTCAGCGACACCATCGACGCCAACAATAACGACAGCGACTTCAACAACAACCACATGTCCAACGGCAACCACCTCGCGATGGACAACCACAGCAACCCCAGGTTCAACTTTCTGGAACCCACTGACCTAGATAGCCTGGCACTAGACCTCAACCTCCCCCTGCTCAGCGAGGACGAAATGACGTCATTGCTTCACAGTCTACAAGGACAGTTTATGTCCTAGACTACCGTATGTGATTATGTATATGTTGACACAGGATCTACCTCGTACTGGCGACACACAGCATAATCTACACATCTTCAGTACACACCCTCCCAACACAGGGGATTATTACACGTGTGTACACGTCATATATAGGTCAGTTCGTGATACACATTTCTTTGAAATCCACACTGACCTAACAGTGATATTAACAATATATTTCTTTCCGTTGTGATTATGTTGTATATTTTTATGGTTATGTAATACGACAATTCCAAGATAAGGTTTTTGGAGCGTTTTTAAACATATACGAACGACCTATATGGACTTGTTTCTTGTGGTGCTTACGATTGTAAAAAAGAAAAAAACTAAAAGAAAAAAATCAAAACTTGGTTATTACATTTTAATTGCTAACAGTGTTGTATTCGTTACCATGGTGATAATACTTTCCTGCCTATACGCGCTGGACTTAAAGATTATATTTTTTCCTCTCCACAATGAAGTAGAAGAAGAAAAAAAAACATTTTTACAATTGACTTTTATGATCGTTTATTGTGTAAATACTTCTATACATCTTTTGTGTTCAGATATTTCTCATGTTACTAGACTACAAAATATATATTCATGTATAACTCTTGCATCGCATTCATTTGTTTTACTATAACTTTGTGACTGCGTGTGGTTCTAGTGAATGGTTATAACAAAGAATTGTCATTTTTTTTTACTGAGGATACGCTAATGACACATGCAAATAAGTGTACACTTTGGATACTTAATTGATACAAGTTAAAACTAACATAAATTTGTAACATCTATCAATTTGCATATCAGAAGTTCAAGTTTTCGTTGATTTTGGTTACACGTATAGGAAAGAAAATGTACATCTACTTAATGGGGACTTTAATATATAACGCTTCTAAGCGTTTGCATACTCCCTACTATCACAATGGTAACGGCTATGATGGGAAATATTTACGTTTTTGGGCTTTCAAAATGATTTCATATAGAATCTAGCTCTCAATTGAGTTACTCTTGGCTTTCAAAATGACTGCATATAGCCCTTAAATAAGTTACTATGGGCTTTCGAAATGACTTCATATAGCCCTTGAATGTTACTATGGGCTTTCAAAATGACTTATCCATTGCCCTACAAATGTGTCTACTTGCTGTGGGTTGACGTCAACTTCCGCTCGTGTCCCGGATAGACGGTGTTTACTATCAACTTTGACACGTTCACCAATGTCACGTGATAATCACCGTTCCGCCCGAGGGTATTGGTTCTATTAATAGTTTCTACAATATTAGACCACGCCCTTCCTTTAGAGTCGTGATCAGTGTTTCTTCCAGACTTCTTTCTCCGGAGGGGCACTTGAAATTTTCGGGGGGGGGGGGGGGGGGGGGGCGGTAGACTTTCTTCTGGGGGGGGGGGGGCAGAGCCACCCCGAAGAGATGCCTGGAGGAAACTCTGGTCGTGACTAGGAGAGGGTGGGTGGGGACTAGTGGGGAGGACGTCCCTAAAGTGGCACCAAACGGGGTAGAAAAAAAATAATATAATGCTCTTTCTGATCTACATTACTAAATTATACACAAAGTTGTACAAAAAATTAACTTCTGCTTTGCTTTATGGACGTGTGTAACCGTTTTCTTCATCAATTGTGTGACACCGATTGATAAGGGACAGTGACTAATAAAAGGCGCCCTGACATTCCCAACATTATTGAACCCATCATACAAAATGACGTACATATTAAACATAGATCTAATACTAGCACACAGTTTACGTTAACATCTCTTGAAACGACACCACACATTGTTATACCACATAAGTTTTAAGTATTCGATACACTTAATTATTCATCCTTATCAACTAATTAACATACAGGATATAACCGGCTGTCACCTTGGGTCTCACCAGCAAGTGTTTTGTTCAGACAATGACGTGTGGGGTGGGTGAGGAGAGGAGTGGGGGTGTTGCACATTTTCTCCCTACCCCCCCCCCCCTCACCAAATCCCACTCGGTGCAGTAATTGAATTGCCGGGCCTTGTCTCCTGACAGCAGACGGTAACCTAGAAAACACATGCGGTGTTCAGCGTGGGTATTAGTAGAGGGTACATACCATTTTACCTTCATGTATGTTTGTTATACATACATACCTTATTATATTATATCCCCACATTAACACTGATATATATATATATATATATATATATATATATATATATATATATATATATATATATATATATATATATATATATATATATATATATATATATATATATATATATACACGTATGTAATGTAGGTGACATCAGCTGACCTATTTCGTAAGACCATCTGTGTTACGTAAGATCGATCGACCGAACTAGGACGCCGTCTCGAGTCCGCGCGTGGTGTATCCGGGTCGCACTAATTCGATAGTTCAGTCTGGTAGGGTAAAGTAGGACAGTATGGCGGATGACCTAGTTCGGGCTTTTTTTTTCCTTCTTTTTTAACACTAATGGCGAGGGGGGGGGGGGTGTTATTTTTAGGGCGGGCGTCACAGCGGATTTGGTTTCTTGAAATTCTATGGGGTGTATAAAAAAAATGAAAAAGAAATTGTCGCACGATTTGTTGATTTAATCAGTCAGGGGACCGCCCTATATTAAACATGATACAGCCCCCTCCCTCCTCAGATTAAAGAGAATAAAAAAATCAAATTTAGGTTGTGGTCACCGACGACTGGGAGAAATATTTATTTGTTTTAATGGGTGGGGGGGGGGGGGGTGATGAATATAGATGACGTCTTTCGGGAAGGAAAAGGGGGCGGGGTGTTTTGTGACGATATGCAATGTGACGTTGGATGGAGGTGATAATGTGATGTGACATGTTTTAGATTATATTTTTAGATGTATTGAAAATGATTACGAGATCACTGGTTGTTGATACGAGATTGAAAGTAGATGGTTGTGCCTTCGTTTTTGGTTGGTGTTGGTGTGGTTTGATGTAATCTGGGTTACCAAAGCTACACAGCTGGAATTGTGTGGCTGTAATGATGACTGTAACGTTGGCGCTGCTAACCCAAAAGTCTCGAGTTCGGATCTCGGGCTCCGATCTGAATCCACTACGCTGACTCGCGTTAGGAAAAAAGGCTGGTCACACTATCCTTTCATATGCCGAGGTCACAGATACAGGTGAACTCTACTTCACCTACTCTGTGGACCTTCAAAGATCGAAAGGTTACTTAACTTTACAGACGACTGCAAAATAGAAATAGCAAAAAAAAAAAGAAACCATCCACTTAATTAAAACTGACCAAAATAAAAAAAGTGACTGCTCATTACTTTGAGTTTGGGTTGAGTATAGGGATAACGCGACGACGTGGCCCAGAGGTAGATCGATAGAACGCTAACCCGAAAGTCACGTGTTCGGGTTCCTGACTAGAGTCGTAGCACGTTCCTGAGTCCACCCAGCTCTGACTGATACATAACTCTCTACTTTTATAGGGTTAACACTAAGGTTAGGTATCGTTTTCAGCGATACTGATATAACGATACTGATAAGTATACAGTTGAATGTTTTGTATTTCAAATCGTATTTTAGAAAATACCCCCAAAGGTGGTTTTACATAACGTCTTCCTCAGCAATAGACACGTTTACATGTACTTGACAGGAGTAAAGCAATAAGAACGAAAAAAATTAATTCTGATAATAAATGTTTCTATTCTTAGCCATACTTTTACGCTACACGTTTACTTATACACAAACGTGTTGTGGGGTGGGTGTGGTCAAACAGTAGAGCGTTCAACTGCTGACCACCCATCTCTAGGAGTACCTGACTGACGTTTTGGGAAAGGTTAAGGCGACCACACTATCTTTTCATAGGCCGAGGTTAATAAAACAGATGAACTCTACTTCACCTACTCGATGGATGGAAAGGGTACCTGACTGATGTTTTGGGAAAGGTAAAGGCGACTGGTTGCAGTGCGGACCATATGCCGAGGCTAATAAAACAGGTGAACTCTACTTCAACTGCCCCACGGATCATAAGGGTACTTTAAAAAAAAAAACTGTTTTATTGATGTACATCATGGTCCGAAACCTAAAGGTGTGTGTTGATGTCATTGTTTTCATCGTGGTACCGTAAACTTGTTGATTGTTTATTCATCCGTACACAGCCCGTGTCTTGGCCTACAATGGGCTCCAGGGACTTTAAAAGTACACCATGTGACAGGCTTTATAGTGACACGTTTCCTTGTACCGCGTACACGCCCGTCAACGGAAAGGCGTGTTCCGTCAACGGAAAGGCGTTTTCCGTCAACGGAAAGGCGTTTTCCGTCAACGGAAAGGCGTTTTCCGAAATGGAAAGGCGTTTTCCGTTAACGGAAAGGCGTTTTCCGTCAACGGAAGGGCGTTTTCCGTCAACGGAAAGGCATTTTCCGTCAACGGAAATGGGTTTTCCGTCAACGGAAAAGCGTTTTTCGAAACAGAAAACAAATACAATTTTTTTTTTAATCATGCGCCTTTTTTTTCTCTCTGACGTGGTACAGTCGTCTAAGCCTTACCTCTAGAGGTGTGTATGTAAATTTCAAAAGCGCTAGACGAAATAAGCTTCAAGGTTTTATGCGCTATGTCGTCTAGACGGAAATTTAACCCCCCCCCCCCCTCTTTTTTTTGCGTGTAATTTAATTGTATCAAAACAAATTAAAAAAGTATGGTTTGATTAGCCTTAGGTTACCCCATTAAGCAATTTTTTTTTACAGCTGACTAACAATTTTCATTCTCAGGTTGATTATAAACATAACCTAATTAATAATAAATCGATTTTTAGATGGGTAGGGGTAAAAGGTTGGGGATGTTTGGCTAAGCTAAAAGTACTGAAACCGTGTACCCCAAAGTACAGGACACGGCAAACTACTGTGTGTGTAATGAGCCGGAATGTGTGTGATTAGAACACCGTGTCGTAGTGGACGGGCGCGTTACGTCACAAGATACGTGACCGGTGAGTCAAAGGTCACACGGCTGGCGCAGTGTCGAGTAGTGCATGGCGATTACGTTGGGCACTGCATAACCCCCGCACACACGCACACACGCACACGCACACACTCACACACATGTGACACTACCACTTCACATACCCCTCTTCATTGCCACACAGTACAAAGTGTGTATATATATATATATATATATATATATATATATATATATATATATATATATATATATATATATATATATATATATATATATATATATAGTTATATATAGTTATATATAGTTTTATATATATATATATATATATATATATATATACAGTAGCGTACGCAGGGGGGGGGAGCAGGGGGAGCCGCCGCTCCCCCTCTGGCCATTTTCAGCAAAGTGGCGCCTTTTTTTGGAAACTTTTTAAATTCAAAGTTTTAAACAATGATATTTGTTAAAAAAATATTTTTGGTCGGCACATCTATGTAAATCACAAGATTTCTTTTCATGCAGCAATATTTAGCATTATTGTTCTAGTCTAGTAGTGTCTACGTTTACAACACGTATTAACAGCTGCATCAGTTTGCCATTCTAAAAATAACCATTACGATGTATTGCAATGTTTAAAAAACCTCAACGGTAGTACCAATTGGCAAGAGGGGTGTTTAAGGCAACTGT